TTTTTTAACTCCCCTTTTAGGATCCAGACCTCAGAACTGGTTAATGGGGCATTGACAAAGCCAATACTCCCCCCTCCAGTTGGGACCTCTCTGAGTGAGTGGATAAAGGGTCTGAGGTTGCCCCTGGGGTGAAGGGTGAAGGGTGAAGGGGAGGTTCTGAACACCCTTTTGGCACTGTTTGAGTTCCTTCCTGAGCCTTGAAAAAGAGAGCCTGTTACTAAGGAGTGGGGCTGATGGAGAGTCCAAGGGCTCAGGTTGGGTTTTATGGAGTTCCTAATTAGCATCCTTTCCTGATCTTGGGGTGTCACCTGAGAGGCTTCAGGGTTATAAGGAGGAGGCAAGCAGGAAAGAGGATCCCACTTGGGGGACTTTTCCTTTTGAACAGCCCTGTCCTTTTCCCCTAGTTTTAGTGGAAATAGTTACAGGTCCCTGTCTCCAACAGAGGGCTAGTCAATCTCCTCCTGGCTCCCAGATCTTTTATCATTAACATACTAAATGAGCAACTGGCAGATCCAATTCTTATTTGATGGAAATTTTGGCCAGAAAGCTGCATGCTTGAGAATGGGTCCCTGGATCCAAATAAAACATCAATTTTTGATCATTTGTTGCTTTCTTTTGTCTTTGGACTGAGGGACCAGTACTTTAACATCCATCCTAATGGACTGTCTGGTGGATGATGTTTTTAGTTTCATTCTCCCTCAAGCTCTTTTCACTTGGGTTTTTCCTCCCGTACTGTGCTGCCTAGTTGGTGAGATTATCCAGTTGAGGATAATAGGAAAAAACAAGGGTTTTTGCTAGTTGAGATAAGGGTAGCTATACAGGGAGTTGACTCGCATTGATTTCCTGTACATGTGTGTTATCTTCTAGGTTAATTCTTCTTGATCTAACCTTTTCTCTAGTTCCTGGTCCACTTCTCCTGTTGGCCTCAGTTGCTTTAAAGTATCTGATTTAGTTTCTCTGCGTTGAGGGCAACAGATGCTATCTAGTTTTTTGGGTGTCTTACCTATCCTCATACCTTCCTTGTGTGCTCTCGCTTTATCATGTGCTCAAAGTCCAATCCCCTTGTGTTTGCCCTTGATCTAATGTCCGCATATGAGGGAGAACGTACAATTTTTGGTCTTTTGGGCCAGGCTAACCTCACTCAGAATGATGTTCTCCAATTCCATCCATTTACCTGCGAATGATAACATTTCGTTCTTCTTCATGGCTGCATAAAATTCCATTGTGTATAAATACCACATTTTCTTATTCCATTCGTCAGTGGTGGGGCATCTTGGCTGTTTCCATAATTTGGCTATTGTGAATAGTGCCGCAATAAACATGGGTGTGCAGGTGCCTCTGGAGTAACCTGTGTCACAGTCTTTTGGGTATATCCCCAAGAGTGGTATTGCTGGATCATATGGTAGATCAATGTTTAGTTTTTTAAGTAGCCTCCAAATTTTTTTCCAGAGTAGTTGTGCTAGTTTACATTCCCACCTGCAGTGTAAGAGGGTTCCTTTTCCCTGCATCCTCGCCAACACCTGTTGTTGGTGGTGTTGCTAATGATGGCTATTCTAACAGGGGTGAGGTGGAATCTTAGTGTGGTTTTAATTTGCATTTCCTTTATTGCTAGAGATGGTGAGCATTTTTTCATGTGTTTTTTGGCCATTTGAATTTCTTCCTTTAAGAAAGTTCAATTTAGTTCACTTGCCCATTTCTTTATTGGTTCATTAATTTTGAGAGAATTTAGTTTTTTAAGTTCCCTATATATTCTGGTTATCAGTCCTTTGTCTGATGTGTAGCTGGCAAATATTTTCTACCACTCTGTGGGTGGTCTCTTCAGTTTAGAGACCATTTCTTTTGTTGAGCAGAAGCTTTTTAGTTTTATGAAGTCCCATTTATCTATGCTATCTCTTAGTTGCTGTGCTGCTGGGGTTCCATTGAGAAAGTTCTTACCTATACCTACTAACTCCAGAGTATTTCCTACTCTTTCCTGGGCAGATGACAAATTTTGGGTCTTTGCCATGCCTAGAAATGCCACAAAACATCTTCCCTGAACTCAACAGACAGGTCTCCTGGTCCCTTTCTTTGACCCAAGGCCCCATCACCCTAGCTTCAACAGTAAACAGAAAGGCCTTTCACAATAGGGTCATACACCCAAAAGCTTACATAGCGATCCCAAGTTCAAATTCTCTGGTCCTTCTGCGGGGACACAGGCTTCCTTATGGTCCCCTCTAGAGGTCAGGAATGCTCACCTCCAACATCCTTCCTCTGCAGTCCTCACAGGGCCTGACCTGTTCTGGTCCTATTCCCCAGGGGAAGTAGCTGCTGTTCTTGGCATGATTAATGCCATCTCTCCCCAGGCTGTGAGAGGATTGGCTCAACAGAAGCAGGAGATGGCCTACATCTGGAAGCAGCTGGAAGCCACCTACCCCCCAAGTTTTCCCAAATTGAGGATGTATCCACATAGAGGCTAAAGAGGAATATGAAGTTATTCTTAGATTTTAACGAAGTGTCCAGGCCTGTCTCTTCCTTGATGGACATCTCCTGCCATTGAAAAACCCTCCCTGTGTCTGTAGTCTCACAGAGCAGTTTTTTTTTTTTTAATCTGGGAGGGGCTCTTTGAAAGCAATGATCAGTCAGGCGCCAGTGGTTCATGTCTGTAATACTAGCTATTCAGGAGGCAGAGATTAGGAGGATCACAGTTTGAAGCCAGCCCAGACAAACAGTTCGAGACCCTATCTCAAAAAAAAAAAAAAAAAATCCACCACAAAACAGGGCTGGTGGAGTGACTTAAGGTGTAGGCCCTGAGTCCAAACCCCAGTATTTCAAAAAAGAAAGTAATGATCACAGCTCTAGTGTTGAGTCCATCTGCTTGAGAAAGATGTGGAGGCCTCCCATCCTATCACCCTTAACTCATCAGTGCTAGGGGAGCAGAAGGGAGGTCTGATTAGAGATCCTGGTCCCTTCAGGCCTCTTGAGGACTGGACCAAAGTCAGAGCTGAAGTTTGGGCTATAATTGAAGTCAGGGATATTTGAAGATACTGGCACCCTGGGTGATCACCCTGCATCTACTGGTGATGGCCCAGGTTGGAGTTGCAGGCAAAGGCATTGCCACACTGTAGGCTTGTCATCACTGTGGGTTACCTGGTGGGTGAGCAGGTGGGAGCTCTAGCCATACTCACTGCAAGTATAGGCTTCTGGTCTGTGTGAGTGTGTTGGTGCCACAGCAGATCCAAATGGTCCACAAAACTCTTGCTGTAGTCAGGGCACTCATAGGGCTTCTCACTCATGTATGAATGTTAGTATTTTAGGTGCTGGGGCTTAAACACTTAAGTTTTTGCCACAATCTGGACAGGTACAGGGTCGTTCACCCAAGTAAACACACTGATGTTCAGTGAACTGGGTGCGTTCACTAAAGCCATGGCCACATACAGGACACCAGAAGGGAACTCCATTGAGGGTGCCTTAGGCAGTCCAAGCTGTTGGTGATGAAGTTCTTGCTACACTCAACAATTGTATAGCTTCTCACCAGCATACGAATGCTAGTGCTTGAGCAGGTAGGAGCTGCACCCAAAGCTGTTACTGCACCAGAGACAAAGGTAATGCTTCTCACATGTGTGCAAGCACTGGCGCTGCAACAAGTTACAGCTAAGGCTGAAGCTCTTGAAACAGTCCCCACAGCGGTAGGGCTTCTCACCAGTGTGCGTGCTCTGGTATTGGATCAGGTTGGCGCTAACACTGAAAGTCTTAACCACATTCAGCACAAGCATAGGGCTTCTCACCCATGTGCACCCGCTGGTGTTTAACTAGGTCGGATTTGCGGCCAAAGGCCTCCCCACTGCATGCACTTGGGGCGGAGACCTGAGTGGGAGTAGCAGTATTGTATAAGATTTGAGATGAGGCTGAAGCAACGCCCACACTCTGGGCAGGGGTACGTTTTTTCACCAGTGTGCACCCGGTGGTGCTTAACCAGATCCAAGCCACGGAGGAAGCGTTTGCAACACTGAGGGCAGCTGTAAGGCTTGTCTCCCTCCCCCTCTCCCCCCCAGCCCCCCTGCCCGTGGCTGCTTTGATGGTGAATAAAGTCAGGGAGGCAGGCTGCAGTCAGTTCCCAATTCCCGCACTAAAAGGCTCTGGGGACTGCAGGGCAGCTGGTCTTGGCGGGGGCTTCTTCCCCGGGGGAGCCAGAGCCTGACCTACATAGGTACTGCAGGCCCAGCAGCATTTCCTGGGCGGCTGGCTGCCCCGGCCACAACAGGAAGGGCCGCTCAGACAGCACATCCTCACAATCCAGTGGCCACCTGGAGGTTCCCCCGAATCCTGAAGTGCTGTTACCCTACAGCTCCGCCCCGTCCGGAGTCTTCCTAGCCACTTCTGGCATCTATTCCATCGGGGGTGAAGTGCGCCCCGCTTCTTAGATGCCAGCTACTGAGCTTAGAAGCACAGCCAGAACAAGGGATCCAGCACCGGAAGGGGAAAGGTCCACAAGCTGGTGCCTCTCTAGAAGTTGGAGCGACCATTCTGGGTAGGTCTAACCTTATTTACCTGGCCGAGGGAGAACTCTATCTGCACCCGCTGTCAGGAACTTGACGCTTTGGCAGGACCAGGGATTCTAGGGGTTCATTAGCCCGAACTTCGGGACCCCCACCACCGCTTGGGGATAGCCAGACGAGTTTGGAAGAAGGGGGTACTTGTCCAGGACAGATCGGGGGAAGAAGAGCCAAGTCACCCGGAGTATCACAATATAGAAGACATCGTGGTCAGATGCCCGGGTTCTAGAGGCACCAGCCCACCTCAAGGCCCTGGGAAGTTTCCCACCAGTCTTAACCTAGGCGTGTTAGGCTTGGCACGGACTACATATCCCAGCACGCACCGCAGGCGCCCCTAAGGCTAGGGTAACACCCATTTCCCTCCTGCCTTCTGCGACTGTGCAAGAACTAGAGTTCCGGAATCGAGAACCACAACTTCCGACTCGCAGGATAACTGCGGCAGCGCTATTTAAGAAGCCAAGACTAAGAACAGCCTGGCCACGCCCCTCTATTCCAGTTCCGCTCGCTCAGTCCAGGGGCCAGGCGCGGGGCGGAGCCGGAGGCCCGAGCCAAGATGGCGGCTGCGAAACCAACCCTCACGGACTCGCTCTCGTTTTGCCTCGCGCAACTCACAGCGGCGGCCGGGGAGGGCCCGGGTGGGGGAAAGGACCCAGCTACCAACGAGACACCCCTGGGTCGCGCGCTCTTAGCTCTTCGCACGCGCCACATCAAGGCAGCAGGGGGAATCGAGCGCTTCCGGGCACGCGGCGGGCTCCGCCCCCTTCTTGCGCTGTTACGGCGAGCGGCTGCAGCGGACTCCGCCCCGTCCCCGGCAGGCTCCGGCTCCGCCCCCTCGCCGGTTGCGTCAGCTGCTTCTATTCCCGCCCCCTCCCCTGGCCCCGCCCCTGCCGCTGTGTCGCCTTCGACTCCTTCGCCGCCAGTGCGCTTGCGCAAGACGCTGGACTTGGCTCTCAGCATCCTAGCCAACTGCTGTACGGAAGGGGCGTGCCGGGCTGAAGTGCGCAGACTCGGAGGCATTCTCCCCTTAGGTAAGTGCTCCGCCCCCATTCCTAGAAAGGTTCCTACCTCACTTCTGTCCCTGTCTGAGTGTGGGCAGTGTTGAGTTCTTTGTCACAACCTAGACTAAGGTGCTTTGTGACCGCGCAGCGCACTCACCTCAAGCATCACGCCCCATGACGTCACTGCTGTCTGTAGATGCCACCCGAACCCTCCCAGCCCCAATAGCCGAGATAGTTGCATCTGGGCAAGTGGAGACCACAGAATTATTTGGTGACTTTTCGAATCCTTATCCTCCAATTATGATGTTCATGGAGTACACTCAGTGCCTGCTTTGTATCCGGCCCTATGCAAAGCCCCATCTGGATAAGCTGGAGAACAGAGTGTAGAAGTTTGAAAATTCAGAAAGTGGGTTCAGAAAGATGTGCATTCTGTCATAACAGGCAAGTCACCGAACCCTTCCAAAGAGAGAATTCCTTGTAAAACGGGATAATAATAGCTACCTCGCAAAGTTGGATTGAAAATAAAATGAAATACAGGTATAGAACGTCCAGATTCTAAGCACAGGCTGGTTATCAAGTTATTAAAAACTCACACAAAAACAAATTCCCTTCTGTTTATCAGGTGAATTGGCGCCTCCTAGTGGCAACGATGCAAGCACACTATATACGTCCTTGCCTGTCTGAAATGCCAGCTTTGACAAAGTAAAACATGAATATATTTAAAGCTTGCACGAAATACATCTGGACCTTGATAAGAAGTCTGGCACAAGCATAAGTCCTAAATAATATGCTGTGTTGCTAGTGTTAGCCTTACTGTTCAGTCACTGTTTTGCCTTTTAAATATTCCTGAGGACCTTGATAAGAAGGTCTGGCACAAGCATAAGTCCTAAATAATATGCTGTGTTGCTAGTGTTAGCCTTACTGTTCAGTCACTGTTTTGCCTTTTAAATATTCCTGAGCCCATGCCTTTCCTATCCCTGCTTCTACCCTATGCTCCTGGACTGTGCTTGGCATGCACGAAATTGATTTGGTTCAAGCCATTGTCCTTTCTTATCTGGACTATTGAGACAGCCTCTTAGCTACTCCCCCGCCCTGTTCCTTTCTCCCATAATGTTTGCCCTTTGGTTGCCAGATTCTATTAGGTCGCTTTTTTGTGTGTGTGGTGGTGGTGGAACTGGGGTTTGAATGCAGGGCTTAGCATTTGCTAGGTAGGTGCTCTACCTAGCCCTTTTTGCTCTGGTTAAAATTTGGAGTTAGGGTCTAGCTTTTTTCCCAGGCTGGCCTGGAAGCTCGCGTGACTATACCTCTCTGAAATTTCGCTTACTGCGCCCATTGCTCAAATCACATCCTCCCCAAGTCGCCCCCACAGATTTACCTAGTCGTCGAGGGCGGCCCCCTACCTCAGCTCAATCATCGCTTCTGCTCCTTGTGTGATTCTCAGCCTTCTCATTTTCATTCCTGCGTCTCTTGGCCTGCTCATTCCAATATGCCCTTCATGAATCCTCGCAGGTACGCTGATATACCTTTGGATTTTGCAGAAGGCCTGCTCCACATGCTTCTCCTAACATCCCCGTCTATCATCCTTCAGCAAATGTTTAGCTCTCCAGATCCTGCTACATGTTAGCATCTTCTGAAGGTATTACCTGACCGTTTCGGTTCACATTCTTCAGGTGATTGATGAGAAAGAAGGGGCAGAACCCTTGAGACACCACACTTTTCTTGCAGTAACTATTCTTCAGTGTGTGAAGACAGACAGCATTCAAAACCGAACAGCTCGTGCTCTGGGGAACTTAGCCATGGAACCCGAGAGCTGTGGGGAGATCCACTCTGCTGGTGAGAAGGCCATGAGGGTGGGGTTAGCTGGAGCTTGGGGTGGGAGAAGGGCTTATGTCTGTTTTTGCTTACATTCTGTCCTCTCCTTCTCTAGGTGCTGTTCCCTTGCTTGTCGAGAGCCTGACTGCTTGCCAGGACTCACAGTGCCTGCAGAGTGTGGTGCGCGCCCTCCGCAACCTGGCAGACTCACCCCAGCACCGCTTGGCCCTGGCACAGCAGGGAGCAGTGCGCCCACTGGCTGAACTCCTGGCTGCTTCACCAGACCCTTCCCTGACCTCTGCCCTGGTCCGTGCCCTCCTAGAACTCAGCCGAGGCTGTTCTCGGTCCTGTGCTGAGCAGCTAAGTCTGGGTGGGGGCCTGGGCCCACTTGTCAGCATGGCTTCTCATCCCAAATGGGCAGTACGTGAGGCAGCCATCCTGATCCTTGCCAACCTGTGTGCCCAGGGCCTGGTGCGGCCTGCACTGGGCAATGCTGGTGGTGTGGAGGTGTTACTTGGTGAGCTGCGGCGACGCCGGGATCCCAACGGGGCCAGCCCAATTTCACAGCAGCCCCTGGTGCGGGCTGTGTGCCTCCTATGCCGGGAGGCCATCAACCGAGCCCGACTACGGGATGCTGGTGGTTTAGAGCTTCTGATGGGCCTGCTGCGGGACCCTCGGGCCAGTGCCTGGCATCCACGTGTTGTAGCTGCTCTTGTGGGCTTCCTTTATGATGCTGGGGCCCTAGGCAGGCTACAGGCTCTAGGACTTGTACCTCTCCTGGCTGGGCAGCTGTGTGGTGAGGGTGGTGATGAGGACGAAGACGGAAGAGAAGCTGCTTCCTGGGACTTTCCTGAGGAACGGACCCCTGAGCGGGCAGAGGCAGGAAGCTTCCGGAGCCTCAGGTGAGTCCTCACCTCAGGCACTGGGAGGGTGAGTGACCCTTTGGAAGGGGTTTGTCTGCTCTGGCCCTCTTCACTCCCACCTTCTATTCTGTCTCAGTAAGACCTCCTGACTAACTCCTGATTCCTTGTTCTCCCACTTTCCTGTCCCCTTTAAGCACACCTGCTCTTCCTGGGTCTGCCTTTTGACCTTGGCTCCACTTCTTCACTTTGAACTCTGAACCCCAGACAAGTTCATATGTGCCCTGGTTACTTAGAGAATGGCATGCTATGCAGCCTAAGTTTGTATTCTATTAGCATCACTTATAAGCTGAAACAGCACAGGAAAGCTAAGTACCTTCTAAGACCCTCTTTCCTTGTGTATAAAATGAAGGATAATAACAAATCGGCCCCTGGGTTTCTAAAGGTTAAATGAGGGTACTTTATCCCTTACCTGGCACAAAAGAAGCTGTTCAGTAACTGCCAGCCTTCTTATGAACTCAGACTTCATCTCCACCACTCCCTGGTGCCTCTTATACTCTTACACACTGGCATCCTCTCTAGCTGTTGAACGTGACAGGAAGGTACCATGCAAGGGCCTCTTTGGCTGCTCTTCTCTTTGTCTAAAACACACGTCCTCCTGCAGCTTTCATCTCACCTCCTTAAGCCTTTGTTCAGCTCTATGGTCACAGTTGGAGCTACCATCACCACCCTATTTAAAACATCAATTCTTATCGGGCACTGGTGGCTCACACCTGTAATCCTAGGTACTCAGGAAGCAGAGATCAGGAGGATCGTGATTTGAAGCCAGCCCCAGAAAAATACTTCAGACCCTATCTTGAAAAAACCCTTCACAAAAAAAGGCTGGTAGAGTGGCTCAAGATGTAGACCCTGAGTTCGAACTCTCAGTACCGCAAAAAAAAAAAAAGGCAACTCCCCTACCCTGGCTCTTTCAGTACCCTTTTCTCACTGGTGGCTCACACCTGTAATCCTAGGTACTCAGGAAGCAGAGATCAGGAGGATCGTGATTTGAAGCCAGCCCCAGAAAAATACTTCAGACCCTATCTTGAAAAAACCCTTCACAAAAAAAGGCTGGTAGAGTGGCTCAAGATGTAGACCCTGAGTTCGAACTCTAGTACCGCAAAAAAAAAAAAAAGGCAACTCCCCTACCCTGGCTCTTTCAGTACCCTTTTCTTTTTCCGTGTTCTGGTTTCACAGCACTCTAGTTCACACCAACATACCATACAGCTTACTTGCTGATGTTGCCTGTCTCCCCTCAATAAAATATAAACTGTGGGAAGAGTTTTTCTTTGTTCAGTGCTTTTCCTCAGCACCTAAAACTGAACTTGCATATGGTAGATGCCAGTAATTGCTGAATGAGGTTCAGTTTTTTCCTCACTCCCATTTCTCCACATCTGCCCTTTACCATCACCCTCCCGTGGTTTCACTTTCTCTCTGAGGACTGCCCTTTTGACTCTGAGTTCAGTTTCCTTTCTTTCTGCTCTTTGCAGGTCCTGGCTGATTTCTGAGGGCTATGCTGCAGGCCCTGGAGACATCTCTCCTGACTGGTCTCCTGAGCATTGCCCACTGCCAGAGCCTTCGGAGCCAGTCAGTCCCACCCCCAGTGCAGCTGGGGCCTCAATACGTACACCCCGCACCCTGCGTACACCCCGCGTGCAGGGCCGCAGCCCTGTGGCTGCTGCTGAGGAGCCTTGGGGTCAGGAAGGGCCAGCGCTGCTGTTGCTGTCGCGCTTCTCCCAGGCTCCCGACCCCAGTGGGGCACTAGTGACTGAACCGGCTCTGTGTGGCCTGTTGGCCTATGTGACAGGTGCACCAGGCCCTCCAAGCCCACGTGCACTACGCATCCTGGCCCGCCTCACCTGCAACCCTGCCTGCCTTGAGGCCTTCGTGCGCAGTTACGGTGCAGCACTGCTGCGTGCCTGGCTAGTGCTTGGCGTTGCACCAGATGACTGGCCCACACCTCGTGCCCGGCCTGTACGCCGAAGCCAACACCGAGAGCTAGGTATGTCTCCCATCTCCCTGCCCACCTGAGAGCCCTGTCTTCTTCCTGTGTCTTCCAGGGCCCAGAACCTCGAGTTCTTGCTCTCCTGACCCTTAGTTGTTCTCTCTAGCCCACTATCTAAGCAACCCCGGCCAACAGGCATTGGGGGTATATGGAACAGCAGGGCAGGGGACTGCTCCCCATCCCAGCATGAAGAGAGAATTCTGCTATATCCTCTGTCCAAACCTTGGGGCCCAGATAAGCTCACACCAGGTCTGGCTCCCAGCAACCTAGAATCTCACCTGTCTGCATGTCCTTACCCACTATACTCTTAGTTCTGCATTGCCCTGACTACTTCCACACTGGGCACACTGACTAATGAACCCAGACCCAGCCTCCGTAGCCATTTCTGGCACTGCCAGGGACTGCCCTGGCTTCTGTGCCTGAGAAGCCTGTTTCAGTCCTTGAGGGCCTAGACTTGTACCTGACTTTCCCACATTCTCTTATTGTCCTTGATTTTAGGTTCCAGGACTGGCAGTCATCCCTGCTTCTGTGCTTTGGTTTCTTGGCCTGAGGTTTTACACTTGTTCCTTTCAAGGGCCCAGAGTCCTTTCTTGCCCATCCCACCCCAGTCTGACACTGGCTCCAAAGCTGACCTCTGCCTGTCCCACAGGTGAAATGCTGCTGCAGAACCTGACTGTACAGGCCGAGTCACCCTTTGGAGTTGGTGCCCTCACACACCTACTGCTCTCTGGGAGCCCTGAGGACCGTGTGGCCTGTGCACTGACCCTACCCTTCATCTGTCGGTGAGGGAGTGTGGGTATCTTGTGTGGGTCCCCATTCCTGCTTTGTCCTCCTCTGACAGACTCCCTTTCCTCTGAAGGAAACCCTCTCTGTGGCGCCGGCTACTTCTGGACCAGGGCGGCCTCCGTCTCCTTCTCACAGCACTTACTCGGCCAGCTCCACACCCACTGTTCCTCTTCTTTGCTGCAGACTCCCTTTCCTGCCTGCAAGGGCTGGTGTCTCCTGCTGTGAGCCCAACTTCTCCACCTGCAATCCCCACGGACCTGGAGCCACCTTCCCCTTGCCTCTATGAGCCTCTGCTGGGCCCAGCCCCTGTCCCAGCCCCTGACCTGCACTTCCTCCTGGACTCTGGCCTACAGCTCCCTGCTCAGAGGGCTGCCTCAGCTTCTGCCTCCCCCTTCTTCTGGGCCCTGCTGTCTGGCAGTTTTGCTGAAGCCCAGATGGATCTGGTGCCACTGCGAGACCTGTCCCCTGGTGCAGCCTGGCCTATTCTGCATCATTTGCATGGCTGCCGTGGCTGTGGGGCTGCCCTGAAGTCCATGCCCCTGCCAGGCCAACCCCTCCTGGGCTCTGAGGCTGAGGAGGCACTGGAGGCTGCTGGCCGTTTCTTACTGCCCAGGCTGGAGGAGGAGCTGGAGGAGGCTGTGGGCCGCATCCACCTGGATCCCCAGGGTGGTCCAGAGTCAGTGGGTGAGGTGTTCCGCCTGGGCCGGCCCCGGTTGGCAGCCCATTGTGTGCGCTGGACGCTGGGGCCAGGCCAGTGCCCGAGGAAGCGGGCCCTGGCCCTTGTGGGACTTGTAGAGGCAGCAGGTGAGGAGTCCGGACCCCTGACTGAGGCTTTGCTTGCTGTGGTAATGGGGACTGAGTCAGAGAGCAAAGGTTCCAGCCTTGACTGCTGATGTCCCCCGAGAGAGAACCCCAGGATGGGCTAGCTGTGAAAGAGGACTCCCTCAGAGGGGCCTGAGAGGGACCTGAGATGAGGCTGTGTGGAGTCAACATTGAGGACTGAAAAGAGGCAGAACTGGACTCCAGGACGATGATCTGAAGACCAAGGACTAAAACACCAGGCCAGGGTCTGGTTGTGGGGCTCAAGAGGAGAAGCGCTCAGGGGCCCAGGTACTTAGCCTGGCCCAGCCCAGCCCCATGGAGTTGAGATTAAAAACTTCTTTGCTATGGCTTTCATGTGGCGTTTGTGCTTAATTCTCCTGTGGGAGTGCTGCCATCTCTCCCTCACCTAGTGGGGTCTTTTCCAAATCTCCATGTCTGGACATAGGCCATCCTTGGCATTTGAGTATAGTAATTGTCCATTGGGATGGGGTGAAGTTCCCAGGCTTCTCCTAGGATGTGGTTTGGGCCCCAGGGGAAGCCTGCTTCCTGTTCACAGGACCTCAGTGCTTAGACAGCCACCCAATGGGACACAGCCTTGGTCCGGGCAGAAAGGACTGTGCTGAGGGAGTGTTGTGTGTGTAGCGATATTATGGCTAACACCTTGACCTGCCTGTCCTTTACCCCTCTTCGGCCATTAGATCTGGGTGCATTTTCTCTCTTGGGCTGTTTCTTAATGCTGTCTGCCTGAGGGAACACCTCTGTTCCCACATTCTCTGAGGGCTGGTCTTAGTCTTGTCCAGAGAGAGACACAACCTTTGCTGCCATTCAGGTAAAGGAGGAGCTCACATGACTTCGTCTCTAAGGCAGCTCTGCATCATCTGGCTTCCAGATCTTGACCACTCAGTAACAGCCTGACTTTGAGGAGAGCTTTGAACCCAACCAGAATCTGTTTCTGGTGGGATGGTAGGCACTTGCTGACATTATGCCTCTGGGGGTGTTCAGTGTTCAGCCCCATCTTTGCATTAGAATCATGAGCTTTAAAAACCATTGATAAAAACAAAAACTATTGACACCTGAATCCTTTCTGACAACTGGACTGGGGAGGGGAGAGGGGGGGAGGGCTGGGCTTCAGTAATTTTAACAAGCTACCCACAGTCCAGTGCTCAGGTCCGTCCACCAGAGTGGCTGCAGTTCAGTCGGTCTCTGAGGTCTCTGGGTGTCACATTTCCACCTTGATTTCTCAAGGGATCGGTTCAGGGAAGGCTTCTTGTTAAACTGTGGCTGGAGTCTGTCTCGATTTCTTCTCTGCCATTCCTATTGCGGAACAAGCTGGAGCAGCCTCAGTATTGGGGAGAAGCTTTGTCTCCTGGGCTGGTTGGGGTCTGGTTGTGTGGAAGTGCTTGGGTCTGGGTTTCCGTGTCCCTGTCCTGCTTGTGTATCTACATCCAGGAAGGGAAGGTTCCACCTCAGAGCTATGAATGAGTTCACTATCTGTCCTGTCTGTGAGATTTCTTTGTGTCTGGTAAGTATGCCTCTTGGGATCTCTATTTGGTTGTCTGTCAGGTACACTCTGAACCTGGGATCTGACAGATCCTTTGAACATCACTCCTGTCCCCAACTCAAAAATTCTACCAGGGACACACCTCTCAGGATTGCCCTAAGTGGGAGGGGATTCTGTCCAAGACTCAGGCGCTGGCTTGGGGTTCAGTCTGTACCTGATTTTCTCGCAGGCAGGAGCTCTGGAGCTCGGTCTGGAAGAGCTCTGGCCGCCTGGGGCTCTCTGCAGCGTAGGCGAAGGCTGGGGTGTGGCCGCTTCGCGGCAGGCCAGCGGGCTGGGCTTGGGTGGGCCCTGGTGCTCCCTTTCTTCCACGCCCCCACCCCGGGCAACTCCGTTCATTGCCCCCCCATCTCATCCCAGCGGGTCCCCGCTTCCATACATGGTCACAGCCCGGCTTCCAGCTCCCGGACGTCCCCCCGCCCCCGTCCCACCGGACACGGCCCCCGCCCTGCTCGCCCCGCGCCGCCCGCTCGCGCCCCGCCATGGAGGACCTGGGTGAGTGGGGCCCGGCCCGCGGGTCCCCAGCCTCCCACGACTGCCGGGATCTGCTCCCGCACACTCGCTTTCTTCACACCTCCCCATCCCTGTTTGCTTGCTTGTGCTTCTGTTTCTGCCCGCGCCTCCTCTCCGAATCCACGTCCCCCTTCCTGCCTCTCCCTTCCTGCCTTTCCTGGGCTGGCCGCTCCCTCCCTTCTTCCCTCTCTTGCTCCTTCAGCCCTAGCTTTGGGCTGCTGGACACGGAGGTGCAGCGCCCGTGTGCGCCTGGATCCAGAGGCTCTGGGAAGGGAGGGGTTAAGGGGACCTTGGGTTTGGGGACTGGGATAGACCGGATAGACCAGAGACTTCGGATAGACCCAAGGAGAGTATGACATTAAGTTTTGGAGATGCAAGCGGGTTCGCGGGCGGGCTGGCTGTAGAGAACGGGAAGGGAAGGGAAGAGTTAAGGGCTCCTGAGTATAGTAGAGGTCAAGTCCTTGGGGGAAGAAAGAGAATAATAAGTGGGGAGTGCCAAGATGCCAGAGAGAGGTTAAAGGTTCCATCAAGATGCTCAGAGATGAAGAGTGAAGGGGCAGGGGCTCCTAGGTTGGGGAAGGGAAAGGTTTCAAAGCACCCGGTGGGGGTGGGGGTAAGAAAGAGGACCCAGTGATCTTGTCCTATTTGCTGAAACTGGGGCTGGAAGGCTGTGCCCTCCATGGGAAACAAGAGTTTCCAGCACCCTGCAGTAGAGGGTGCTTGTCAGTAAGGGTGCCTGACACTGGGACTGTGGAAAAGAAGCTAACAGAAAGCTGCACCCCCACAACTCACCAGTTAGCATAGGGTGGGACTCAGTGGGGCCACAAAGCCCTGCCAAGCCCTGTGGAGCCTGTTGGTGGGAGGTGCAGGGGAATTAGTGAGTGTGGCACAGAAAGTGTCCAATGAGAAAGCTGGGTGCTAGGCACACAGCCAATTAAGCAATTTGGAGTGGATCCAAATTTGGCTTTAGTAAAGAGCCAATTTTGACTGTGTCAGGAAAGGTGGGGAGAATAAAAGAATCAGGTGGCTGGTTTGTGTTTGACACCCCAGATGAGCTAGTGGGGCTATATGGTCATAAATATTCCTCACTACCATTCCACTTCTCTGCCTTGCCTGGTCTGTGTTTCTTGACTTCTATTATTGGCTCTGCCCTTTTCAAATACTGCCCACTTGGAGCCCTTATCCTCTAATCTCTTAAGGCCCTGTCTCTGAACCTAACATTGACCCTGCAGTCTCACCTTGAGGGCCTCTCCCTGCAGATGCCCTGCTCTCTGACCTGGAGACCACCACCTCCCACATGCCAAGGTCAGGGGCTCCAAAAGAGCGCCCCCAAGAGGCACTCACACCTCCCCCACCCTATGGCCACCAGCCTCAGGTGAGATCAGATACTGGGGCCTGGGATAGCCACTAGGGCCAGGGTTGGCTTGGGCTAGGGGAATCTGAGCTGGAGTGGGGCACCATACAAGTCTATCACTCCACACGTTTCTTCACTCTGTAGACAGGGTCTGGGGAATCTTCAGGAGCCACTGGGGACAAGGATCATCTATACAGGTGAGAGGGCTGGGAATTGGGACGTGGGGATGGGGAATTGAGGTTCAGGTGAGGAGGCTTGGATGTCCCACCCCTTAACCCAGGCTTCCACCATGTTTCTCAGTACGGTATGCAAGCCTCGGTCCCCAAAGCCTGCAGCCCCCGCGGCTCCGCCATTCTCCTCTTCCAGTGGTGTCTTGGGCACTGGACTCTGTGAGCTAGACCGTTTGCTTCAGGAACTTAATGCCACCCAGTTCAATATTACAGGTACCAGGTTTATTGAGACAGACCTTGATGGGGTGGGAACAGGGCAGAGACTAAGGGACACAGACTTCCCAGAGGAGCAGCTAAAGGGACACAAAACCTTAACTGGAAGGATGGGTTGAGCATGTCCCCATGGCCAATGCTCTTCTCTTGTCTCTCCAGATGAAATAATGTCTCAGTTCCCATCTAACAAAGTGACTGCAGGGGGACAAAAGGAGGACCAACCTGAAGATAAAAGCAGACCCAGCCTGTGAGTTTGGCATGGCTGGCAGGGCTGGAGAGAGGTGATGGGTCTGGAATGTCTTAAGTACTAGAGGGACTGTTACTTTGGGAGGCTCTGAGATGATACAGCTGTTCTCTTCACAGTCCTCCCAGCCCATCTCCTGCTCCCCATCCCCACCAGGGCCGACTGGCAAGGGCAGCCTGGACACCATGCTGGGGCTGCTACAGTCAGACCTAAGCCGCCGTGGTGTCCCTACCCAGGCCAAAGGCCTCTGTGGCTCTTGCAATAAGCCTATTGCTGGGCAAGTAAGTACAGCCCATGAGGGGGGAGTCCAGTACCTACAGACCCATCTTCATTGAGAAGCAGGTTTTGTGCTGTCTCCTTCAATGAATACTCTGCAAAGTAGACATTATTTATATGTTTTTTATTAAATTTTTTTTGCAATACTACAGTTTGAACTTAGAACCCTGCACTTGCTAGGCAAGCACTCTGCTACTTGACCCATGCCTCCAGCACCCTCCCCCCACCCCGCCTTTTTTTTTCTGCTTTAGGTTTTTTTTCAGATAGGGTCTTACTTTTTGTTGGTCCCACAGCTTGGGACTGTGATTCTCCTACCTATGCTTTCCTCCTAGTTGAGATCATAGGTATGAGCCACCATGTCCCGTTTATTGCTTATTGGTTGAGATGGGATTTCACTAACTTTTTGCCCAGGCTGATTTTGAACTTTGATCCTTCCAATCTCTGGCTCCTGAATATCTGGGATTTACAAAAATGACACACATTTTTGTGTGTGTGCTGGGGATGGAACCTAGGGCCTTACACATGCTAAACATGCATTTTACCACTGAACTACACACCCCGGTCCACTATTTCTATTTTATGGACGAGGAAACGGAAGCTCTGAGCCACCAAAGCAGGTAATTGGTGAGAATTTCAACCTAGTTACCATTTTTTATGGTCCTACTGTGTGTCAGGGACTGTGATAGCTCCTTTTCAAACTCTCATTTTGTTTAATCTTCACAGAAGGCTCCTTGGCTCCACCCTGCACCTCTCAGACATTCACAGAGACTGTCTCTTCCCGTTCAGAATCTGGTGTGGGAGCTCTGTTTCTTGGCATATAGGCAGATGTGCCTGACAATTGCTGTGCCCAGTGGTTGACCTGGAGCCTCCTGCTAGACAAAGTGCCTGACTCCCATCCCAGAAGAAGTGTCAATCTCAGTAAATCAGGGTGGCAATATGACCTCTATAGCTCTAGGCACTTTCATCTTCATGGGTCCCTTCCTCTAAAAATCATGTCTGGGGCTGGTGGAGTGGCTCAAGTGGTTAGAGCACCTGCCTAGCAAGCATGAGGCCCTGAGTTCAAGCCTCAGTACTACCCCCTCCACACACACAAAAAAAATTATGTCTGGCCAGGTGCTAGTGGCTCACTAATCCTAGCTACTTGGGAGGCTGAGATCAGGAAGATCACAGTTTGAGGCCAGTTCTGGAAAATAATTATCATGACTCCATCTCCAAAATAACCAGAGCAAAATGGATTAGAAGTGTGGCTCAAGCAGTAGAGTGCCTGCTTTGCAAGCACAAAGCCTTGAGTTCAAACTCCACTCCCACAAAAAAAATTACATCTGCACTGGCATAAAGATGAATATATTGGTATTAAATGTTCATTTTTTTCTTCTGACTTTAAAAGAAATTAAAACCTTTTCATTAGCCTCTGGAAGTACTGTGGTTGCTATTCACTGTGCCTCATGGATAAGTCAACCCTGGAACAAAGCTGGAAGACCTGTGTTGAATATTACCTACAGGTTGCATGACTTTGAACATGAGCTTTCTCATCCTGCTCTCAGAGATAAGACTTGAACAGTGCTGTGTACGTAAACCTTGGTTTACTGGGCATCTAGCAGTTCAAGGGCCACTCTGACCCAGACCTACCCCTACCCCCATCATAGGTGGTGACAGCTTTGGGTCGTGCCTGGCACCCTGAGCACTTTGTTTGTGGTGGCTGTTCCACGACCCTGGGAGGCAGCAGTTTCTTCGAGAAGGATGGAGGCCCCTTCTGTCCTGAGTGCTACTTTGAGCGCTTCTCACCACGATGTGGCTTCTGCAATCAACCCATCCGACATGTAAGTCCTGTCAGGCCCTGTGGCTGCCTGTCTCACTCATAGCACCTGTGAGATGGGCACTGACCAGATTGGTCCCACCTCCACTCCAACTCCAACCCTCTCCTTGGCAAATCCATGGCTCCTGGACCTTGCTGTCATTCCTTTTTTTTTTTTTTTTTTTTTTTCCCCTTCAGTGCTGGGGCTTGAACTCAGGATCTACACCTTAAGTCACTCCACCAGCCCTTTTTTGTGAATGTTTTTTTTTGAGCTAGGGTCTTGTGAAGTATTTGCCAGGGCTGGCTTTGAACGCCAATCCTCCCAACTTCTGCCTCCTGAGTAGCTAGGATTATAGACGTGAACTACTGGTGCCTGGCTTTAACTCCAAATCCTTTGTTAGCTCTCCATCCCTAAGACACAGACCTCAAGTCCGGTCACCCAGGTTCCAAGCAGGAAGAAACAGGAGGGAAGAAGAGACATAGGACCACAATGAGTGTCTGCTTTCCCTTTTCACAGAAGATGGTAACTGCCTTGGGCACCCACTGGCACCCAGAGCATTTCTGCTGCGTGAGTTGCGGGGAGCCCTTCGGAGATGAGGGTGAGTGCTTTACAACCCCTTAGAAGCTGCTGGTGTACCCGCCCCACCCCCTGCCTCCGGAGTTCTCTGGATCCTAAGTTTTCTCTTGTTCTTTTCTGCTCTTACCCTCATCCACCCGTGGGTTCCCGTCCCATTTTTTCCCGTCCTGCCGTCGCCCCAGACTCCATCGCTCCCTCCTTTCTGCTTACTCTTGGAGTCCTCCGGAGGCGCCTCAGTCTCCGATCTTGGAGCTCTCCAGTCCCCTCCACCCGCACCCTTTTCTTTCAGCCCACTCGGTTCCCGCCCCTAGGTTTCCACGAGCGTGAGGGCCGGCCCTACTGCCGCCGGGACTTCCTGCAGCTGTTCGCCCCGCGCTGCCAGGGCTGCCAAGGCCCCATCCTGGATAACTACATCTCGGCGCTCAGCGCGCTGTGGCACCCAGACTGCTTCGTCTGCAGGGTGCGCGCTGGGGCGGGGCCTGGAGGGAGGAGCCACGGAGGCGGGACCAGGAGCCCGGGGCGGAGCGAGTATTGGGGCGGGGTCCTTTTGGAGGCGGGGCTTCGCCCTAGGACGGGGCTGTGGGTGTCCCTGGGTTCTTTAGCGGCTAACGGGAGTTATTTGGTCCCAGCTTTTGCCACTAACTCGTTCTTTCGCGACGTTTTTTCCCCAGGAGTGCTTCGCGCCCTTCTCGGGAGGTAGCTTTTTCGAGCACGAGGGCCGCCCGCTGTGCGAAAACCACTTCCACGCACGGCGCGGTTCGCTGTGCGCCACGTGCGGCCTCCCGGTGACTGGCCGCTGCGTGTCGGCCCTGGGCCGCCGCTTCCACCCGGATCACTTCACCTGCACCTTCTGCTTGCGCCCGCTCACCAAGGGCTCCTTCCAGGAGCGCGCCGGCAAGCCCTACTGCCAGCCCTGCTTCCTTAAGCTCTTCGGCTGACTGCCCCTGGACTTGCGGGTCCGGGAGGCCACGCCCCCAAGACCCCACCCTTCCGAAAAAAACCAAGTCCTCCAGATCCCTAGGTCTTGCTCTTCGAGCTTGGGGCAGCCTGCAATATCCCGTGGCTCTGCCGCCCCATGCACTGGGGAGATCCTCCACTAAGGTACTCTACGTTCTTGGCGGTCAGGTTCAGAAAAGGCCCTGCCCATCCTAAACCCACACGCTCCCAAAGTGATCTTATAATGACCAGAGATTCCACTCTTTTCCCACCCTTGAGGGTGACTGGAGAAGGGTGCTTGTGATTCCGACTAACCAGAGGCCAGGCCAGAACGTCCCTGCTACCCGCTCTCACTGTTCTGTGCACTTTTTTCTACGTACATAAACACACATTCCACGTCTCACTGGTGCTGTGTCTCGGGCACGGGAGAACCTTGTCTTCATACCTCGGGACTCTGTGCGGGCTCTGTCCCCAGTGGGTTCTAGGCCACAGCCCTGTGGCCCAGGCGGGAACTGCGGTCTCAGTTCTTTGGAAGGGCAGTCACTTGCTCAGGATTGTATAGACAGTGGCAGAACCTGGACAGGGGGGCGACCTGAGGCCTCAGTGAAACTTCCTGCCTCCATTCCCCTCCCTTCAACTCCCTGTAACCTTGAAACAAGCAATTTGTTGTCCCTCCTGCTTTAAAGGATTCTCAGATGTGAGGCACTTTCTAGATTTATGCCCATCCTTCACATCTGGGCTCTGAGGCACAGCTTTCCTCTTAGTATTGGCCCACGTGTTCCATCACTTGCAGGTTTGGTGGAAACATGGTCCCAGCTTTACCCCTTTCTCATCCCCCACTCAAATGTCCACTTCAAGGCAGAGAAGTAGGCGTGTCCACAGCCACTTGCTGTCCCTGTTCTTTCATCAGTAACTCCCTGAGGCTTTTTCTGATTCAGTCTTGTGCTGGGTCCACAGAGATGAGTCGTGCCTCAGCAGTCACTGCCCCAGAGTCCCCAGCTGGTGGGAGATGGATACTGACACTTGGTTTTGCTAGGGCAGTGACTGGGGGCTGTTGGAGCTGGATGGAGGGTTCTAACCCAGACTGGAAGTCAAAGGTGGCTTCCTGGAAGAAGTGACACCTGAGCTAAATCACAGCAGAGAAGGACAGGCCCAAAAGGTTTTTCTGGAGGTGTTCAGGCTCTACCTGAGTCTCCAAGGCCCAGGAACTTTTTTTTTTTGGTGGCACTGGGGTTTGAACTCAGGGCTTCACACTTGCAAAACACATGCTACTGCTTCAGCCACACCTCCAGTGCATTTTACTCTGATTATTTTGGAGTTGGAGTCTTTTGAACTATTTGCCTGGCTGGCCTTGAACCTCGATCCTCCTGATCTCAGTCTCCCAAATAGCTAGGATTACAGATGTAAGCCACTGTACCTTTATGGGTTTCTTCACTTTGGATCCTGCAGTTCCCTAGGGGAAGGTGCCTGGGGCCCCTGAGTCTAGACTATATGGGCCTTTGGTGTTGGAAATGATGGATCCACAGAGGCCCAACCAGCTCATCAAGAGGGGACAAGGACAGTGTGTGTGGGTGAGAGACAAGAGATCTTTTGCCCTTGCTTCTGGCAAACCCTCAGATCTGTTCCTCTCCAAGGCTTCCCTTGGAGACTCCTCCCACTTCTGCTTTTTCCTTCCTCATATCCTCCCAAGGGGATGCTGTACATCCCCTGATGTGTAACCACCTCCCTCTCTTGAGGATGCTCAAATTGGACATCTCTAGTCTTCATTCATTCACCAAATGTTTGTTTAGCACTTACTGGATCCAGGCAGACAGGCGCTTCGCTATCAGGAAACTGAAATCTTGTAGGGGAGACAAACAAGTATGATGGTGACAAGTGTGATGAAGGACCAGAGACTTCCCTGACTGCCTAGGTAAAGTCCAGTGTTGTTCCAGTTTCCACCCTATGGCACTTCTGTAGTTCCTCTACAGCATGTGCACTGTTGGGAATAGGTGTTTATTTGTTGCTTGTTTACATGACAGCTTCTGAAAACAGGCAACATGTTTATTTTGCTTTTATCTCTTCAGTGTCTAGGATGGTGTGTTGTACCATTCTAGGTAGGTGCTCAGTAAATGTTAATGAAGAAAGGAACAAGAAAGAAAGGAAAGAAGGGAGAGAAAGGGAAGCACAGAGAACTAAGTTAGAGAAGGTGGGGAAGGAGCCAAACAGCCAAAAAGAGGTATGTGTGAAAATGCAGCATCTAAGCTGAGAGTGAAGGTTGAGCAAGAGCTGGCTAGACAAAGAGCCTGAAAAGAGCATCCTGGGCAGAGGAAACAGCAAGTGCAAAGACCAGGAGGCAGGGAAGTGCTTGACATATTAGAATAAAGGAAAGAAGACCAGTGTGGCTGGATTAGAGTGAGCTACTGAGAAAGTAGTCAGAGATGAGGTCAAAGAGCGAACAGATGTCACATCATGAAGGGCCTTGTAGGCCATGATAAGGGCATACAGATTTTAATTGCCCATTACCCAAATGTGTCCTCTGACATTTGTCTCTGGATTTCTCTCAGGCACTGCAAACTCATCACATCCTGAAGCAGATACTGGGTACCCAGCTTGTGTCCATTCGGTCTACTTCCAAGGCCATATAGACAGTTCCCAGTCACCCAGACTCCTCCTCCTTGGAGGAGGGAGGAGGGAGTTAATTCCATGTACTGGACAGGCCTGAAGAGTGTGGGTGGGTGTGTGTTTCTGAAATTTACCCAGTGAGATTCAGGAACTGGTGAATAAATCCCCCAGCTTCCTGGCCCTTTATGGGTCAATTCTGAGTGTTTTCCACAGTGTCTCAGAGAGCCCCCACTGAGGCTACACCATTTATTGGCTATTCTTTCTTTGTCTTAATTCCCCACTCCTTCATAGCCATTGATGGGATCACCTCTCCAATAAAGTACAGTGACCTTCCGTATCTGCAGGCTCCACTAGCCTGTGATTCAACATATTCAAGGAAAGAAAATTGCTTCTGTACTCATATATACAGACTTTTTTCTTGTTATTACTCTTTAAACAACATGATATAAAACTACTTACATAGCTTTTACATCTTATTAGTATTATCAGTGATCCAGAGATGATTTAAAGTATATGGGGTTGTGTGTAGGTTATATGCAAACACTATACTATATAAGTTACTTGAGCATCCTTAGATTTTAGTATCTTCAGGAGTCTTCAGGAATCCCTACAGATGTCAAGGGATGAGTGCACTTCAAATATCAGATGAGCCAGAGGATAAAGAGGGTAGTGACTGTGTAAGGTTGTACTGTATAGATAGTGGTGGAACCATGACAGAAACACAAGCTGCGGCCTCAGTGAACCTTCCTACCCCCATTCTTCCCTCTTCAGCTCCCTGTAACCTTGAAATAAGTTTGCTTCTCTTCCTGCCCTGCCTTTGTTTCTCCTCTTAAGGCTTGCTTTATAGCAACTTTAAGGAATCTACCCTAAGAGTTCTTAAACAAAACTCATCATATTCCCTTAAAATATTTTTGTTTCCCATCTCAAGGATGATGGCAGTTGTCATAATCAGATAGGAGATTCCTGACTCAGGAGACCATTTCCTGACATGCAAGTCTGGTTAATTCAAGAAAGGCAGATGTGCAGATGTTCACCATTCCTTCCTATGCTGAGCAATGGGCCTCCAGAGATGAACCAGATCCAGCTGTAGTCTTGAGGAGTCTCTAGTCTGTTGGGGAGATAGATCTGGGCCCAGGCAAGGCTCACAGAATGTTCTCAGAATGATATCAGAAGAGTCATCTTCAAGAGATGTCTTAGGCCAGGCACTGAAGGTGAAGAGGACTGCCATTTGGGAGGCAGGGAGATACTCTAAGCAGAAAACTAGGTTTGAGGGGTATGAAAATTTGAAGGCTAGGAAAAAAAATGTTAAAAGCAGGCCACTAAGATTCCACCTCACCCCTGTTAGAATAGCCATCATTAGCAACACCACTAACAACAGGTGTTGGCGAGGATGCAGGGAAAAAGAACCCTCTCACACTGCTGGTGGGAATGTAAACTAGTACAACCACTCTGGAAAAAAATGTGGAGGCTACTTAAAAAGCTAAACATTGATTTACCATACAATCCAGCAATACCACTCTTGGGGATAATACCCAAAAAGACTGGTGGACACAGGTTACTCCAGAGGCACCTGCACACCCATGTTTATTGCGGCACTATTCACAATAGCCAAGTTATGGAAACAGCCAAGATGCCCCACCACTGACGAATGGATTGAGAAAATGTGGTATCTAGACACAATGGAATTTTATGCAGCCATGAAGAAGAACGAAATGTTATCATTCGCTGGTAAATGGATGGAATTGGAGAACATCATTCTGAGTGAGGTTAGCCTAGCCCAAAAGACCAAAATCGTATGTTCTCCCTCATATGTGGACATTAGATCAAGGGCAAACACAACAAGGGGATTGGACTTTGATCACATGATAAAAAGCAGCACACATGGAAGGTGAGGATAGGTATAGACACCCAAAAAACAAATAGCATTTGTTGCCCTCAACGCAGAGAAACTAAAGTAGATAGTTTAAAGCAACTGAGGCCAATAGAGAAGGGGACCAGGAACTAGAGAAAAGGTTAGATCAAAAAAATAACTAGAAGGTAACACACACGCACAGGAAACGAATGTGGAGTAATGCCCTGTAAAAGCTACCTGATCTCAACCATCAAAACCCTTGTTCCTGCTCCTATTATGTTATACCCTCTTCCAACAAAATTAGAGATAAGGGCTCATAAATGAAATGTCTGTTTGGGTAATGAGGGTGGGGAGAGGAGGGGCGGAGGGTGGTAGGAGGGTGGGGGCCGGGGAGAAATGACCCAGCCTTGTAGCAACATAATAAATAATAAAATTAAAAAAAAATATATAAAATTAAAAAAAAATAAAATAAACATAATCATGTGTATCCACAAAAAAAAAGAAAATGTGGTATATTACACAATGGAATTTATGCAGCCATGAAAAGAATGAAAGTGTATCATTCACAGGTAAATGGATGAACTGGAGAACATCATTCTGAGTGGAGGTTAGCCTGGCCCAAAAGACCAAAAAATTGTATGTTCTCCCTCACATGCAGACATTAGATCAAGGCAAACACAACAAGGGGATGGACTTTGATCACATGATAAAGCGAGAGTACACAAGGAAGGTAATGAGGATAGTTAAGACACCCAAAAACAAGATAGCATTTGTTGCCCTCAACGCAGAGAAACTAAAGTAGAGTTTAAAGCAACTGAGGCCAATAAGAGAAGGGGACAGGAACTAGAGAAAAGGTTAGTTGAGAAGAATTAACTAGAAGGTAACTTACATGTACGGAAAACCAATGCATGTCAACTTCCCTGTATAGCTATCCTTATCTCAACTAGCAAAAACCCTCTGGTCCTCCTATTATTGCTTATACTCTCTTCAACAAAATTAGAGATACAGGACAGAATAGTTTCTATCAGGGCTGGGGGAACAAAAAGTCTTGATTGATAATACTGCTGACATCTTGGTCATTGCTGCCTATTTCCTGCTGGTCATTGGAGTTGGCTTGTGGGTGAGTTTGACAGGATTTTGCTAGGGGCTGGGTGTCTGGGGCTTGGGGAAAAGTCTTTGTGAGACCCCAGAGAGCGTGGGGGAAAAGATGCCTGGGTCTTTGAGGGAGAAACCCAGGGCTGAGAAGGCAAGCGAATCCTTTGAGGACTTCAGGGAGGCCCAGGTGACATTAATTCCTTGCTTTCTATATTTAGGTTGTGATTAAGGGGGTCAGTGGATTTTCATTAAGCTCAGCATTCTAAACGAAGTTTCTGTTCCCCATCCAAGGACATATCCCAGGCCCCAGAGTCCAAACATTCTTGGGCCTGAGTAGCTGGATATGAGGATGAGGGCCTGGGTCACTCCAGATACCTGGGGAGAGAAGTTGGTGGTAGGGTATAGACAAACAGGGGTGTCGACTGCTGGTTAATCTGCAGCCTAAATCAAGGCTGAGGAATGCATTGAGTTGGCTAATGAAATCCAAAGATGTGCCCTGAACCCAGGTCTCTCCCTACTTTTCTTCCCAGTCTATGTGTAGAACCAACAGAGGCACAGTTGGTGGCTACTTCCTGGCAGGACGAAGCATGGTGTGGTGGCCGGTGAGAGGGGCTGGGCCATGGGATGGGAGGGGCTCTAGAGGAGCAGCTGGCTTACTCCTACCTCTGGTCACCCAGGTCGGAGCCTCTCTCTTTGCCAGCAACATCGGCAGTGGCCACTTTGTGGGCCTGGCAGGGACTGGTGCTGCAAATGGTTTGGCTGTGGCTGGATTTGAGTGGAATGTGAGGCCTCCTTTTCCCATAACCACCCCACCCTGGTGGGAACTTCTGGGAGGGTCACACCTTGGGGAAGCTCCTGGCAGGGAGGGTAGAAAATTTGGAGTTGGAATGTCCCAATTGTGGGGTGAGGCTGGGTTGGAAGCGAGAGTCACATGCCCAGTTCGGAGGCAGGGAGATGCCCACTTTCAAGGAAGGGGTCCTGCATCTGACTTGGTGTTTGAGCTGGCACCAGCTGATGTCCTCTGTGGGCATTTATGCACTTCTCTGTGACATGGGGAAAGAGCTCCATAATGGAGAAACACCTATTTTGAAACTGTGGTCTGTGAGCATCTCTAGGCCAAATTATGGTCCTTTGTAGAAGCTGAAGAGGATACAAAATTCTGGAACTGAGGTTCAAGTTGGAGTGTTGGGAAGGCAGGGCTTTGAGCTCAGGGCTTCCTGGGAGAGGAGGTCTCTGAGTTGAGCCTTGAGGGACAAAAGGTTTGGGTAGGTTGAGGAGAGAAGGGAGACAGCCCTGCCTGGCAGATACTGAGGTCAGTCTGAAGGGCATGTGCTAGTGTTCATCTGCAAAGAAGGCATGTGTGTGGGAGGGAGAGGGGAGATAGGGACCTCTTGGGAGGGAATGGCCAGGAACTGGGGATGATGGCCTGGAAAGGCCCCAGTTAAGGGCCCAGGAAGATGTCAAGATTCTGTTCCTTAATGCCCAGGACCCAGGCTTATCTTTTGCAGTTGTCCCTTGAGCCCTGGCTGTGAACCTCCCCAGGACCACTTGCTCTAGTGTAGCACGTTCGGAACGAGGTGTCTCAGATCCTTCAGGGCAGACAGGCTGATGACGGGATGCAGATATGGAGTCAGCTATCACAGTGTGTCCACAGGCTCTGTTTGTGGTGCTGCTACTCGGCTGGCTCTTCGCGCCTGTGTACCTGACTGCGGGTGTCATTACCATGCCACAGTACCTGCGCAAACGCTTTGGCGGTCATCGTATACGCCTCTACCTGTCTTTGCTCTCGCTTTTCCTGTACATCTTCACCAAGATATCGGTGCGCATGCGCGGCTGGCAGGACTGCCTCCTAGAAGGGCGGGGCCCTGCTTAGTGGAGGTCTTCATAGAGCTGTGGAGGGTGCAGGACCGAGGAGAAACCCAAGAATCACAATGGAGGCATGGGCCTAGAAGGAATAGGTCTCCGGGGCTGTGGACACTGGGTGAGACCTGAGAAGGCCAGACTGTTGCAAAATGAGAGGTGGCCACGTAGGATTGTTGCCTGGGCAGGAGGAGAACCTGGGTCACTGCCTTTGCCCTTGGATCCTGACCTGTGAGCTTGCTTCCCTCCACCCCGCCCCCACCAGGTGGACATGTTCTCCGGAGCGGTATTCATTCAGCAGGCTCTGGGCTGGAATATCTATGCTTCTGTCATCGCACTCCTGGGGATCACCATGATTTACACTGTAACAGGTGGTCCTAGCACAGACTGGCGGTGGGGCTAGGGAGGGGTCCCCCCTGGAACGGTTTTGGGAGCTTTAGGCATCAGTGGAACCTAAAACCTATCTACACTTTGCTTCCCAAGCTCTGTTTGCTGGTGCCCTGGCCATGAGCAGAATGGGCCATCATTTTAAAATCTGTCCTCCTGGAAGGGTACTTTTCAAATTCTTAGAAAGACACCATATGTGCTGGAGATCAAGAGCCAGGCTCTCCCAACTGACTCAGTCCTGTTGCAGGAGGGCTAGCAGCGCTGATGTACACGGACATGGTGCAGACCTTCGTTATTCTTGCGGGGGCCTTTATCCTCACGGGTTATGGTAAGGGGCTCAGCCAATGGGGTTGGGGCGCGGAGGTCTCCAGCCACAGCTCCTCGACCCAGGAGCAGGGACATCGCACGTCTCTGGTACGTGGGTCCTAAGGACCTTAGCACGGGTGCTGGGTCCCTTGACGACCTTGCTCGCACAGCTTTCCACGAGGTGGGCGGGTACTCGGGACTCTTCAACAAATACCTGGGAGCAGTGACTTCGCTGACGGTGTCGGAGGATCCAGCCGTGGGCAACATATCCAGCTCCTGCTATCGACCGAGGCCTGACTCCTATCACCTGTTCAGGGACCCTGTGACAGGGGACCTGCCGTGGCCCGCACTGATCCTGGGGCTTACCATAGTCTCGGGCTGGTATTGGTGCAGCGACCAGGTGTGCAGCCAGGGATTGGTCGGGGGACGAAGCTGAAATGGGTGGCGGCTGGACCCAACCTTCCCAACAAGGTTGAAAGCACAGTCCAAGGGGGCGGAAACATGGCTAGGGTAGAACCAGAGCCCCGCAGCAGGGTGTGAGAATGGAAACTTGAGGCGCACTGAAGCGCCAGAGGCAGGGCACCAAGTGGAGTGGGGATACAGGAACTGTCAGGCCTGAATGGGCAGGGGATGGCTCGCGGTACTTGTCTCTTCCCCCTGCCCCCATCATAGGTCATAGTGCAGCGCTGCCTGGCCGGAAAGAACCTGACCCACATCAAGGCGGGCTGCATCTTATGCGGCTACCTGAAGTTGACGCCCATGTTCCTCATGGTCATGCCGGGCATGATCAGCCGTATCCTTTATCCGGGTAACGTCTGCGATCCCACTCCATCTCTTGTTCTCTCCTAAAACTCGCCCCTCCGGGGTGTGTGTGTCATCTCTCTCCCCTGCTGTGATTCCCAGTTCCCACTAGGATTCAGCGGTCCTGGTTCACAGACCCTGTCTAGCCAACCCCTCCCCCTCTTCTCACAGATGAAGTGGCATGTGTGGTGCCGGAGGTGTGTAAGCAGGTGTGCGGCACCGAGGTGGGCTGCTCCAACATTGCCTACCCAAGGCTGGTGGTGAAGCTCATGCCCAATGGTGAGGGCAGAGACTCTGGGGAGCTGCCAACAGAAGGGAGTCAGCCCTTGCCAAACCTCACCTGTCTGGCCCACTCTGGTGGCCCTGCCTCACAGCTCCCATTGGCCACAGGTCTGCGTGGACTCATGCTGGCTGTAATGCTGGCTGCACTCATGTCCTCACTGGCCTCCATCTTCAACAGCAGCAGCACACTTTTCACCATGGACATCTACACCCGCCTGCGGCCTTGCGCAAGTGATGGGGAGCTGCTGCTAGTTGGAAGGCAAGGACTAGGTCCCCCACCTCCTGCCCCACAATCTGGGTTGGGGCATGGGGCACCTGCAGGGTTATGGGGAGGGGAGGGTCCTGGTAAAACCTGATGACCTCCCAACTGCAGGCTCTGGGTGGTGTTCATTGTGGCAGTATCGGTGGCCTGGCTACCAGTAGTGCAGGCAGCACAGGGTGGGCAGCTCTTTGATTACATCCAGTCAGTTTCCAGCTACCTGGCACCACCAGTGTCTGCGGTCTTTGTGCTTGCACTCTTCGTGCCCCGAGTTAACGAGAAGGTGAGCTGGTGTGTGCTTGTGAGCCTGGGGCAGGGCTCTGACATTCTGGGCAGGCTTTAACACTGCTTCCCCCGCAGGGCGCCTTCTGGGGACTGGTTGGGGGCCTGCTGATGGGCCTAGCACGCCTTATTCCTGAGTTCTCCTTTGGCTCTGGCAGCTGTGTGCGACCCTCAGCATGCCCTGCGTTCCTCTGCCGGGTGCACTACCTCTATTTTGCCATTGTGCTCTTCATGTGCTCCGGCCTCCTCACTCTTATAGTCTCCTTGTGCACTGCACCCATCCCACAAAAGCACGTAAGTGTTGTCTTCTGGGCAGACTGGGTGACCAAACACGTAACTGCATGAGCTGCATGAACCATCTGTGCCTGTCTGCAAGGAACACCCAGTAAGGGTGACCCACATTTCTATACTGAGGGTTGGTGGGAGCAGGCTAGGGGTCCAGTTTGAGGTTGCATTTGCAGAGCAAGCCAGTCTTTTATTTAAATGATATTTGTTTGAAGTAGTTTAGGGGGAGGTGGACTGAATAGTTTGGAGGGTTGGCATGGCCTTTGGAACTCAAAACACAGAATATGATTGGTGGCTACGAGGACAGAGTATCATCTTGAAAACTCACAAAAGGGTCTGGTCTTGTGCTGATGCAGAGATGACAGGGCGGCAAGAAAAAAGGGGTAGGCCTGGAAGGCTGGCAGGACTCCACAGCAGCATGAGGAAACCAAGTGAATGCCCATAAGAAGGAACACTGAGAGCAGGAGTGTGAGACCAGTCTCAAGTAGCACAGTTCTGGGTATAGACAGGACCCCTGGGGTGAAGCAGGGGTGAGGAGGGCCAGTGGCTTTAGACACCCAGCTGAGGTGCTTTGGGTACAGCCCAAGGGCAAAGGTGGCTAAGGCAGGTGGAGTCTGAGTGAGCAGAGCCTGGCTGAATGTGCAGACTAGACAGAGGGAGGCTGGGGAGGGCAGCAGTAGGGCTGGTGTGGCAATTTAGACTAGGGACCTAATGATGTAGGGTGAGATAGCAGAACTCCCACATGGTCCCTGTTCCCACACCTTCCAGCTCCACCGCCTGGTTTTTAGTCTCCGACACAGCAAGGAGGAACGGGAGGACCTGGATGCTGATGAGCTGGAAGGCCCAGCCTCTCCCCCTGTACAGAATGGGTGCCTGGAGCATACAGTAGAGATAGAAGGTAAGGTACTGCCCAAGGAGTGCCTTGAGGAGACCGGGAGCCCACTCCTACAGACTAACTGCAGCCCTCCGTTTCTCCCAGAGTCTCAGTCTGCAGACCCAGGCCCCTTCTACCGGTGCCTGCTCTGGTTCTGTGGAATGAACAGCGGTCGGGCAGGTAGCCCTCCACCCCCTACTGAGGCTACTGAAGCAGCCAGGCGGCTGGAGGACATCAGTGAGGACCCCAGGTGGACCCGTGTGGTCAACCTCAATGCCCTGCTCATGATGATTGTGGCCGTGTTCCTCTGGGGCTTTTATGCATAGGGTCAAATGTGCTAGACGCCATGAGCTACAATCACGATAGAGCTCAGCCTCATAGAAAGTGGAGGTGGGGAGCCTGCAGTGGTTCCCAGAAAAGGAGAAGGGCAAGAGGGGTGGGGTCTAGTCCATCTGATGGGCAGTTTCTTCCCACAAGGCGAATGGTCAACTGGCCATAGCAGTTTGCTTGAGCAAAAATAAAGGTGCCTTCCCACACATGCTGTAGCTTGATCCTTGCTCCCAGCTCCTGTCCTGAGCCCTGGGCCAATATGTGGCTGCTCACAAAATCTTCTTTTCTGGAGTTGGGAGCCACGTAGCCCTCCACTCATCCACTTCTAACTGGTGCTTCTCAGTCTTCCAGCCTGCGGTCTGCAGTCCTACAGAAAGGCCATGAGGTGATGCTGGTAATCCTGGGGAAGAGACTCTGGGCTGACCCAAATGGGTGGGGAAAAAGAGAGGAACAGGCTGGGCATGGCTTTGTGCACTGTTTGGGCTCCTCTTCTGGGTAATCTCTGGCATAAACTGAAGCTGAAACCTCATCTGGTAGTAGCCAGAATTCAAAGTTTGCAACGGAAATGGAGCAGGATAGAGGAATGCTACATAGAAGGTCATCTCCAGTGTGTGAGCCCAGCCCCTCCCCCAATTCCTAAATGCCAGACCATTATCAGGAACACACGTCAGATATCATCCTAACCTCCCCAACCTATGGACAGGGAAACCAGTCCCTGACTTAAGGTCACACAGAGAAGCCAGGTCTCTTATCTCCCAGGTGAAAGTATGGAGTAAGGATAAGCAAAGCCCCAGGGCTGAAAGCAGAGGCCATGAAGTCACAGGCCGATGTTACCTTTTAAGAACTCTGGGAACATCCTGTCCAGCACTTGGTGTAACTTCCTGATGACGACCCAGCCATCTCTCTCAGGACCTGGGGTGGGTACAGAGCCTGTGTGCCCTCTGTGTGGTCCTTAGCAGGACAGATATGTTCATTCTTTCCACCGCACTCCATGCCACCCACAGTATAGACACAAGGCTCTCACCTGCCTGCATCCGGCTCCTCAGTTCCTCTAGCTCTCCTGGAAGGGGTCCATCTTCTTGCAGGGCTCCAAGCACAAGCCCGTGTGTGGCAGCCCTAAGGACAGTCTCAGGGCCTGCCATCTGGCTCAGAACCACTTGTACCTGGTCTGGAGAGAACCAGGGATAGATGTGCATCAGGGAAGAGTCATTTCTTAAACACTCTCAACCCTATCACTCTGCTTTACCTGTCTGTGCCCAGAGACCTTTGCCAGGCATGGAAGGCCCTTTCCTCACTTCTCTTTTTCACCTTCATCCCCTGTTGCTTCCCATTGCGCTGGCTAAATTATATGCTCAATATCCAAATATGATGTCACAGCAGCTCACTAGGGTGGGCTTTGGCTAATAAGAATTAAAGACTTTTAACACATCACCCACAACTAGCAATTGCAAGGACTTGTTTTCCCAAGAGGTGATTAAGGATGGGAGAGAAGAGTGGGTCGCAGGGACAGCCAAGGTCACAATTTTATTTGAAGGTGTTACAATGTACGGGGTGCTTTTACACAATCACCCTATTTGATCTTCAGAAAAACACTACAGAAAATAAGGCAGCTACTGTAAGAGAGGTAAAGTGAATTTCACTGGGACATGAAGTTTAGTCTACAGCACCTTCCTGGACTAGGCAGCCTTCAAACTGTCCAGGGCTTGGGCCCTGAAGCTGAAGGGCCCCAGAAGGGTGAGTCTCAGGCTGGAAGAATGTTGATACTCACTTCGCTTCTGGTTCCAGTGAAGGAGGTAGGGCTCCTGGTGCCCCTCTACCATCTGCTGCAGCTCAGAGACACTGGTGGAGAGAAGAGTATGGTGGAGCAGGGAAGCAAGGCAAGAGTACCACCTGGCCAAGTTGTCTACATGTCATCCCCCTCTGTTCACTTCCCATCTATTTCTTAGCTATTACCTGCAGTATGTATGTAGCCATTCACTCCCTCATCTACCACCCTTCCTTCATCCAACAAATACCTCACATCTGCTTTACGTTATATGCCCTGCTGCCCTCAAGCAATTATGCTGACCCCCAAGTCTGCACCTAGAATAGGGAGGCGGGACCTGGTCAGGGGAGGCCAGTGTGAGAGGCAGCAGTAAGGAGTAGGAGATACTGGCCACTCACCTGGAGATCAAACGGTGTAAGGGGACCCCCAGAGACAAAGACAGAGATGGCCAGAAACCTGTAAGAAGCTGGAGTCAGGAGGCCCAGGCATGGGGAAAGCCTGGGATACACAGGACAGGAGACCAAGGGGCTGGTTCACCTGTCCACAGTGGCTCCATCTGATTGGCTGAAGCTGGGTCAAGTACCTCTCCCCTCTGAAGGAAGTGCTTCAGGACCAGTTGGAGTCGGCTTTCATTCAAAGTCTCCATGACTAGGGCACGGACTGCCCGGTAGTTGGCATAAATGTGAAGGGCAGTGAGGAGGAAGAAACATCCAAGGCTGAGGCTGGGACAAGAAAGTGAGGTAGCCAACGGGGACAGAGGCCCAGCTAGGCATCTCCTCCCCAGCCTCGCTCCTAGGCTTACCTAGGGCAATCTGATATCAGAGGAAGCAGCAAGAGGCTGACCAGGAGCCCCGCCAAGTTCACCAGTGTCTCCTGGAAATGGCAGAGGGGTCAGGAGTTGGAAAGCTCCCTTTCAGGCCAGACTGAATATCCCTGAGTGCTGTTCACAACACTCTTTCCTACTCCAGACTCTCCCAGGCCCCCTGGCTCTGATGGAGGTACCAAGTAAATTTTAGTGTTTCAGACAAGTGAGCTGCTATTTAAAAGATGACATATCCTTCTCTGCCCAGGTGGAAACAATGCTTAGGACACCCTTGGAACATGTTTTGCAACAGTCGCCTGAGTAATACCACATTCAGGCACTACCTGCTGTGTGGGGAACTAGTTTCATATGCGGTTGAAATGGGTGGGTCCCTCTCAAATTCCTTGGTATGCAGTAACTGGCAAACAAATTTGCAAAGGGACCAAGGAACCACTTAGGAGGAAAAGGAACAGATCCCCTATGAATGGATGCAGATCCAAATCTCTTCCCCTCCTCCTGACTCACCATGAGGGAGGAAGAGACTGCATTGGTGTCTCTGGCCACTGGGGCTGCAGGGAGAGCTGATCTGGTAGAGGGCTTGAGAGCTCTCTTTCACCAGTGCATGATTGGACTGTGGAAATCAAAGTGAGGATCAAAGGCCCTGGGAGCTCAGGAGCAGAGGGATGACAGTAATTTATGGATTTGCACTAAAGTCACATCGGCAGAAGGCAGGGCCTGCTGTGAGGTAGCACATGGCCAGGCTGCCTCTGAGATGCGTTACTGCCTCACTGAGGAAGCCCTGGAGCCTTGGAACCCAAAACTCAGGGGTGGGGGGCAGGGCAGTGAGAGCAGGTGACAGAACAGGCATGAAGCCAGGAACCCTAAAGAGAAGGGCTTGACTGTTCTTATTTCTCACTTTAACAACTTGCAGACTCAGAGCTGGGAGAGACCATGGAAGAACTAGCTCAACCATACCCCTGCCCAAGGATCTCTCCGTGCTGTATTTCCCCATCTGTAAAATAGCCATGAAGAATACTTAACAGTAACACTGTAAAGACTTAATGAGTTCACATAAAGGAAATACTTGGTATGCAGTTAATGCCTGACAAATACTAGCTGTGTTACTACTACTGAGCAAATTAATATGAGAAAGCTGGAAAACAGGACTGGATAGGACAGAGGTTTCTAAATTGCTTCACTGTCAAAGAGAACCATGTCAAACTTCTGTGGCCTCCCTCATCTGTAGATAGTTACCATTAAATGATGGAATTCACATAAGCACTTGGCACAGGGGACTGGGGGAACCTACTATCTGTAGAATTCAGTCTTAGGGGCATCCCTGTCACCCTTCCAGGTGAGGTGGAGGGGCTGGGCAGAAGGGTCTGTTAAATTGCCAAGTGGAGGCCCCTGACCAGTGACACCTACAACTCCAGGTGTCAAGTGCCTTTGGACTTGTCAAGCACATTCATACATGGCCCTTATGTGATCTGGACATCCAGCCTCTAGAGTGGGGCTATGGCCCCAGGAGTGATAGCTCACTCTTAGCCACTCATGCAGTGGGCAGGGGCTGACGTCGGCTTGGACTTCCTGTCACCAGGACCATACAGTGAGACCTGACTGCACAGCGAGTCACAGCAGGGAGCACTTACTCTACCTGTCTTCTACCCACCCCTTCTCAGGGACACTTAGGTGCTTTTCTCCATCTCCTCAAACTGTGGCATGATCTTGCCCCTCACCTTTCCCCAACACTGTTTCCTGACCCTGGCTGCTTACCTGGCTGCTGTCCTTGGCTGACACATCGGCCACGTTGTTTCTCCGGGCCTGGTGCACGGTCAGCGCAGCCCGAGTGGCCCCACCGGCCACACTCACAATGCACTGGGTGGAGAGGGAGGGTGAGGGTAGAGCAGTCATGTGCTACAGAAACACAAGCCCTTCTGTGGGTGAGCCAAATGAATGGCTCCTACCAGCTTAAGTAAACCAGGAGACAGGTGACCCCACACAAAAACCCTGGACGATGTCTTCGGTATCTTGTTCTTACTCTGCACTCCCCCGATGCACATCTCCTGCTTGTTTCAGCAGAAAACATGCCCATCATCATGGGACCTGGCCCCAAGAAACTCACTTTCCTTCCCAAGGTCGAGGCCCAAAGATCATTCTTAACCCAGAACTTCACCCTCCAACTCCTACTTTGGCTGCATCCTCTCCCTTGCTGAACCAGTCTGGCTTCCATCTTTATGCTTGTATCAGTGGTCCTGTCCTCCCAGGTAACCTGATTTTTCCCTCTGAGATCTTAGGATGGTAAAGCTCATTGATGAGCATCAGTTTATCTCAAAATTTATCAAGCTTCTTTTAGATGCTAGCCACAGGTTAAGGTGCTGAAATACAAGTCAGAAATATGCCCTGCTTTCATGAAACTTATGGATCAACAGACAGCAAACAAACAAAGTTATTACATAGGTGGAGGAACTAGTTTGCTCAAAGCCAAGAGGAAAGTGGTACAGAATGAGTCTGGAGTGGTTGGCAGGGAGCTGTCCATGTGCAGCCTTGTCAAAGTCTTCATCCTAAAAGGGTCCTGGGCAGGGAAGTGACCTGACTTGATGTCCACAGCTAAAGGATTACTGGACTGTTCAGAGAAGGGCTGATGAGAGGATAACAGAAACTGACAGACACCCAGGAAGTAGCCATGCTTTTTCAGCAATGGAGGCAACAGAAGATGGAGGAAGGAATGGATTGAAGGGAGGAAGGAAAAAAAAAATCATACAACTGGAGAAGGTTTAGCTGAGATGACAGGTGAGGGGAGGAGGAGGAGGAGGAGGAGGAGGAGGAGGAGGAGGCAGCATGGTGGAAAGCTGATGTAACTGGGGATGGAGTACTGTTCACTGAGACTGGAATTCAAAAGGGAGATTTTAAGGGGAAAAATTCACAGCCTGTTCTATTGGCATATTTGAAAGATGAAGAGACAGAGGCCTCAAAAAGCAGTTGAATGGAGAATTTGAAACATGCCAGAAGTCACAACTCTAACAGCCCTTGGTCCATAGCTACCACAGTGGTTTTCTGAGGTTTCCCAACCTGCAGATATGGATAGAGTGGAGGATGGAGTGACTATAGCATTTATTGCATGAAACGCCCAGTTAAGTGTCCTTCACTCAAAGAACTGTTGTACCTAAAACACCAGTAGTGCCTTGTGAAGAAACAGTGCTCCAAAGTCATTTCAAATGGAGATGGCCTTTGAAGTGGGCCTTGCATTGACTGAGGCTTCTCTGCTCTTGGTACTTGGTTTTGTGGTGAGGATGTGCTAGGTTCTTTCCTGAATATTGCTGGGCTTCAGCTTTCTCATCTAGGTGAAGCTACCCTAAAAGAGTGGTGAGGACAAGCTGCCTGGTAGAGCAAGAGCTTCTATTCACCTGACTGGCACTTCTTGCCTCACCTTCAGATCTGTTTCTTGCCTCTTGGCATTGACCTGTGCTGTTTCTTTTGCCCAGAACACTTGCTCTGTACCTCACATTCACTCTTTAGGACCCAGGGGAGGCCTTCTGCATTCCCTGACTCTTTCTTGTCTGGGACACTTGTAGCTGTTATTCCATAAGTATTTATGTTATCATATGGGCTTCCTTTCAAAGATGATAGGGCTTATATTCTGTCAAAACATGTGACAGGCATTCAAAACATGTCTTACTGAAAGAATGAAAAACAGATAGGAAGCCAGTTCCCAAATGTTGACATTGGACCTCCCCTGCTTCGCCTCTCAGCTTGGAACTCCTTCAGCAGTCCTGTGGCTCTAAGAACTGCTGGGGACTGGCTGGCTGAAGTACTAGGGGCTGTCTAGCTAGAGGAGGATCAGAACCTGGTTGGGTCTGAATGGAAACATCTGAATTTTCTTACTCTTTAAGAAGTGTTTTGAGTATGGGGCCCAGGTGAGCCCACACAGTACCACCAAGGCAAGGATCTCAGGCATGGGGTGTCCCAGAAGTGGATACCTTGGCCAGGTTGCTTGTACTGACGGTCATAGTGAAACAGATTGGGAATATGGGAGCCATAATCTCGAGGAACATGGCTAAATCGTTGAGAATGTCAGCAAAGAGCCTGGGGAAAAATCAGAGGTTGGAGGTCAGAGACAAGAGACTTCACAAGACTCTCCTCCCCTCTGTCCCAGTGCCTCCTCACCTCCATTGCTTTGCATTACAGTCCAGTTTACTCCTGTTGGAGACAAGAGGTCATTGCAATTTAGACTAAAGGAGAACACATGCTGTGGGTTGTGTGGGGAGTGCTAGGCCATGGTAAAGTCCAAAGGGCCCAGGGAAAACATACCTGCCCACATATCCTGTCACTGCTTTCTGAAATGTTACTGCCTGGGAGGACCCTCAGTGATCACCCAGTGTTTCCCTCTTACTAATCAATGACTCACCTAGGGAAAACCTGACTGTGTAGTGGCTACTCCCTACCCTCTAGCTGCTTTTGAAGAAGGCTACTCTACTCCTGAATTCCTCTACCTTCTCCTTTTCTTCCTGCTTCCCTAAGGTACCTAGCAAAAAGTCCATTGACTTCATATTGGTAAGCACTACTAACCCTGCAGGGTATAGATAACCAGTCCAGACTCCCCTGGTTCACATGACAGTGGCGGGAAGAAAGGACAAGAGAAAGAACTGGGCCCCAATATTCAGGCCTGGGATGTTCTGTTATGTAACACAGTGGATGGGCACTTTATCTGTCCCTACACCTGGAGGCCACTTCACTAAAATTCCAACAGGAGATGCTGCAGCCCCCATCCCAGCTCAGAATTTGCAGCATTAATTTGCAATCTCCTAAAGGGAAAGGGAACATTCATGGTTGGGGCATACTATACACAGGGGGGCTCCTGGTCTAGGTTCTGTCAAAGGTACCTGCCTGACACCATGGACAGAGTACAGGCTTCAGGTTCAAATCCAATCTCACTAATTACAGGTTGTGTGGCTTGGGCAAGCAACTTTCTTCTTTTAACTATGTTTCACATATTTAAAATGTACACATTTAATCCTACCCCATATGGTTGTTATAAAGAGTAGAGACAATACAGAATGCTTGTAGGACATAGTTGGTTCACTGAGCATGTGTGTGCCAGGCACAGATAGTCTGTGCACAGACTATCTCAGTGAACCTTGGCAATCACAATGAAAGGCTGATGTTATTAGTATCATTACTATTGCTACTGGGGCAAACTGCCAGTACTTGGTTGATTGGGAAGAGAAACTTACCCCTTCCACCAGGTGAAGGCGATGCGGCCCAACATGCCAGTTGAATCTGGGAAAGAGAAGGCCCTGGTAAGGACAAGGGAGGGACTCAGGAGCTTCAGGGCCTGGAGGACCCTGGCACTGAATTGGCTAATTCACCCTAAGTCACATGGCTTTTAGAGGAGCTGAATCTGTCATGGAAGTTTCTGGATGGACACAGTTGTATGACAGGGTCAGAAGCTCCCCAGTATGTACTCAAGGGAACTATGTACCCACCCACATACAGTGAGATGTAGATAAGAAATGTTCTTGCAGCACTGTTAATAACAGTAAAAAACTGGGATCATGCAAATGTTCACTGTCAGGAGGATGTATGAATTTTGGTATATCCACTCAGTGGCTTATTAGACAGCAGCAAAAATCCAATGGCCCTTTACAGAAAATATTTAGCAATTCAGACTATCCTTTATACTGAGATAGCACCCATTAAGTTGATCTGAGCAGGGGGATAACAATGAAGGAATGTTTTAGAACTAGACCTCTGGGAGAGACTCCTATGTTGGGTACTAGAAAGGACAGACAGAATGGACAGAAGCCTGTAACTAATTTGAGCTTGAGGGCATGGACCTGAAGTGGAAGATGAAAGGAGAAGGGAAACTAGGTTGTAGAAAAGTAAGCTGGGAGCTTCTCAAAACAGAAAGGTGGTAAGGTGGGCAAAACCCATTCTTCACTTAAAGTAGATACAGTCACTCAGTGCCAGAGCCTCTGTTTTTGGCATTGTTTAGCCAACCTGGATTTGAGGGAGACTACTAAGAACTTTGATGGACACCCAAAATACCTACCCCTTTCAGTTTTCACAATCATCTCATAAACTTGGGAGGGGTCATCCTCTTCTTACAGACAAAGCAACTAAAGCTCAGAGAAGATAGATGAACAAAACTGGAACATTTCACAAGAAATTAAATCTCTAACTTTCTAGAAGACTCTGAGGACATGGGCAACAGTGGGCCTGATTTCCCTTACTGCCACACTCACTCAGAGGAACATGTGTACAACAAGTTCCCATCTGGCCTGCCCTGGAAGTAATCCATCCACAATAGTCATCAATGGCATTACAAGCCTTTTTTCTATCACTCACCTAATCTCTTCAAGTGATTTTTCTTTTTTTTTTTTTTGGTAATGGGGTTTAGACTCAGGGCCTTGTGCTTGGTAGGCAGGCACCCTACCACTTGAACCATACCACAGCTTTTTTTTTTTTTTTTTTTTTGGTGGTACTGAAGTTTGAACTCTGGGCCTCATGCTTGCTAGGCAGGCTCTCTACTACTTGAGCCACTCTGCCAGTCCTTTTTTGTGTTGGGTACTTTTGAGATAGTCTCATGAACTATTTGTTTGGGCTGGCCTTGAACCGTGATCCTCCTGACCTCTGCCTCCTGAGTAGGTAGGATTACAGGTGTGAGCCATCAGCGCCCAGCCACCAGCTGTTTTTGCTTTTAGTTATTTTTCTGAACAGGGTCTCACTGACCACGAACCTCTTATTTGCTTTCCTCTCATAGCTGGGATGATAGGAGCACACCACCATGCCCGTTTATAGGGTCTCACTAACTCCTCTCTCCCTTCAGCCCTCATCCTGAGCCACAATCCTCCCAAACTCAGTCTCCCAAGTAGCTAAGATTATAGTCATGGGCTACCATGGTTGGCTCAAGCATGTTATTTTCTAAACAAACTTTTCACTGCTCCATTTAAGATTCTTGTACTGGATCTACTAGTGATGCTGAACGTGGCTGAAGGGGAACCCACGGACCAGACTCCATTTTTCTTCCCTTTGGATGCACACTCATACCCAATCAGGTGTGCATCCTCCATCCAATCAGTGGCTGCAGGGATTAAGATACATATCATGTGTAAGTGGGCAAAACTCCTGGCTTACAGAAGGCTGTCAAAATGTTAACTGCTAGTAGTATTACTATTGTTAGTTATGACAATTAACATCATTCCCTTACTGGTCTGCAACTGAAAATGATCACATCAAAAAATTTAAAGGCTTTTTTCTCTTTTTTTTGAGGCATTAGGGTTTAAACTGAAGGTCTTACTTTTCCTAGGCAGGTGCTCTATCACTTGAGCCATATAAAACGGTGTTTTTTTAAAATTCTGCATACACATTTCCAATGTTTTTGATGGAAACAAGCTTGTAAAAATTCTTTTTAATGAAGAGTTTTCTTTTAACACTGTAACAGGTTCTACAACAAGTGGATGTTTTTTCATATCTTAAAGTAGTCTTAGTTTTTCTTAAAAACCTGTCTGAGCTGAAGACATATATAGGCAACATGCTAGTGATAATAGTAGGGGTTCTGGTAATGACACAAAAACATCAACTACTGACCTGAACTCTAACTGCATTCCCCAAACTTGGCTAACAGGAGAGCAAGGGAAAAGATCCAAATTAAGCACAGTGTGTTTACATGAAAGTAGAGCCAGGAGTTAAATCACCTAGGTCCATATCCAGGCCTACCACTTCCTGTATGTGTTACCCAGCAGTTTTCTCATCTATAAAGTGGGGATGATGGCAATACCTGTCTTAGAGCTGCTCTGAAGACTGAATCAATACATAGAAAGACTGACATACAACAGACACTGGTAGCAAAAACTACTATTGTTATCATTAAAAGAAGAGACATAGAACAAGCCACAGATACTACTTCTCCACTAAACATGCACTGTAAGAGAAAGCTTCTTTCCAGAGGTGATTCATTGCTGGACAATGTGCTCAGTCTTTACAGTAAAGGTGTAATCAGAAGCCTCCTGATTTCAGAAAGACCCAGGGCAGTTCACCAGAGATGGAGCCAGGCAGATGCTAGTAGAGAATGGGCTTCCCCTTAGGTCTTATTTAAATACCTCCTGGCAATAGTAGTGAAAGACTAAAGGCCAGTGGACAAAGCCATGGGCCCTCCTGATGTGGAATAAGTTTCCCTTTTCTTCTCTATTTCACTCTACAGTAGCATGGTACCAAATTGTATATTTACTTGTTTCCTTAGTGATTTTTCAAAAAGTTGAACACCCTCAACACACAGTCACTATTATAGTATCATGTAGTATCCCAGAGGACGCAGAGTACTTTACATCATCCCCAGAACCTCCTTTCTCCTACTCAGGACCATTTACATCCTTTTTTCTTTTTCCTGGAACCAACCAACTTCTACCATCCTGGGTGGCTGGCAGTTTTACTCAGTAAATTGCATTTTCATGCAATCCTTTACAAAAAGACTAGGAGTAAAGGGAAGACTTAGGGGCTCAGGATCTAGGTGACTTAAGGACTATGCGGTTTGTCTAGGGGACAAGTGCTGCTGCTAGGCTGGTGCCCAGAATGCAGGTATTCCAGCTGTGGGCAAAATGACAAGCACAAAACATTATTCTAGGTACGGAGGAAGACTTGACTCCAATATGCTACCTACACACGCAGAGCTGGAGAGGAAAAAGAGGCCAGAGAGAGGGTAAGAGGCCAAGCCGCAGGGTCCAGCTCACCTTTCACCAGCCAGGTGGCCGTGGCAGCAGACACCGAGGCTTTCGCGTTCCCCACCCCCAAGCCTAGCAAGACCGCATGGGTGGCCAGGGAGCCCGAGAGGCTGGAAGCAAAGGCCTGGTGGGGAAGAAAAGAGGTGGAGTGAAGGGCGGCCGCAGGAGCACCGAGGTCTGCGTTCTGCCACCAGCTCTCCTTCTCACGTGTGCGTGGGGAGGGGAGGTGGCCTCGCTGTCCCCGATCCCCAGCCACACGCAGCCCACTCCGTGGCCGGGCCGACCTGCACGGAGTCCCACAGCTGGTAGGGCAGATAGTCCGCGCTGACGCTGTCGGGGAAGCCCTGGGGCAGGAACACGGCCTGGAGACCCGCGAGCGGCTGCAAGGCGGCCCCCGGAGCCCCGTCGCCGTCCCCTCCTCGTCCCTCAGGGGTCGCGGAGAAGATCCTCGGAAGCCGCCACCCGCGCCGCCCCGCCGCCTCCCACCGCAGGCTCCCGTCCGCGGCGGCGCGGCAGCCCCGGGCGGCTCCGGAGCCGAACTGCTCCGAGCACAGCGGGGGCTCCAGAGCCCCCGCGCCCGCCACCCCCGCCATCCCGGGTCTCCGTGTCCACTGCCAGCTGGACAGTGAACGGGCCGACCCGCGCTTCCGGCTTGGCTACGGCGACCGCGAAGGGTCAATGTTCCTCTGCGACCGCGACGGGGCACTCTAACTCCACTAAGGGCTGCTGGCCTCCACAGCATCCTTTGTCCAGCTCCGAAAGTAGACCACCGTATCCTCTGATCTTCTGACCCCGCCTCGGACCCGCGAGACTGATCCTGCCTTTTATTTTTGAAGCATTTTGTAGCTGGGCTCCAGAAGCAATGGAGGGCCCATGGCCTGACAAGACATCTGACTTCTAGCCACCTGCCACTCCCAGTAATGGAGAGAAGGAAAGACAGCACCTCTAGCGAAACTTTTGTGTTTGAGACCCCATTACATCACACAGTTTTCACCTGTGCGACTGGGCAAGTCTCTGGGCCTGGGTACCTTCTTTGTTATGAGGTCAGAGGTAATGTTTTTAATTTTTTAGACATGGTCTTCTTATGTAGGACTCATGCTGGCCTGGAAATTGTTATGTAGCCCAGGCTGGCCTTGAACTCTCCATCCTCCTGCCTGCCTCAGATTCCTGAGTGCTGGGATTACAACCATTTATTTTTACTCTTTTTTTTTTTTTTTTTTTTTTTGGCAGTGTGGGGTTTGAACTCAGGGCCTCATGCTTGCTAGGCAGGCTGTCTTACCACTTATTTTGTGATGATTTTTTTTTGATAGGGTCTCACAAACTATTGGCACAAAGATGGCTTCCAGCCACATCATGCTGATGATCCCTGCCTCTGGAGCAGCTAGGATTACAGGTGCGAGGCATTGGCACCTCGGGGTTTATGTTTGCTCTTTATTCTATGTTCAGTACTGCCTGACTGATAGCAGGCGCTCAAAGGTATTTACGAACAAATAAACACACGATGAGGAGAAACTGGACAAGATGATCTTCAGGCTCTGTTAAACTGCCCAGTCTTTTCCCCCTATGCAACCAAGGGAAAACTTAAATAAGCCTTGTAGGTTCACTTGCTTTTAGTTGGCTTTTAAAAATCACTAATTTTGGAGGTCAAGCAGCTCAGAAATTAGTCAGTCTTCCACTAACTTTGCCGTAACGCTTGTGATGTGTGTGCTATGATGACAATGGCTGCCTAGGTTATTTTTCAGGGCCTTGAAGGCCACTTTTGCTGAAAGCACAGACTCTTAGGCCCATGGATGTCTGATGGGTAACTAATACAGGACAAAAAATCTTGGTATCTGTGTTAGTCAGCCTTCTGTCACTGTGACAAAATACCTGAGGAAAAACAACTTAGAGGAGGAAGGATTTATTTTGGCTCATAGTTTCAGAGGTTTTGGTTCATGGTCTGCTGGTTCCATTGCTTTCAGGCCCATGACAAGGCAGAAACACCATGGTGGAAAGGATATGGTAGAGGAAGGCTGTTCACCTCATGGCAGCCAGGGGAGAAAGATAGAAGAGAGAAGAGAGGAGGGGAGAAGAGAAAAGGAGAGGCATACCAGGGACAAGATACACCCTGTAACCTACTTCCCCAGACAAGCTCCCATCTCCTAATAGCCCATTCAGATATGAGCTAACCATTAAATGAGGTTAGCACTCTCATAATCTTAACATTACCACCAGCTGAGGACCAGGCCTTAAACACATGTGCCTGTGGGAGACTCTTCATAGTTAAACTATACAGCATCTCTGTCTTTATAGTGTATCTGTCTCTTGCTACCTTAATCTTTGGGTCAGACTATTTCTGCTCAACTTTGCATTTTATTGATCATTTAAGAACTGTGTTGTCTGGAACTACATAAAAAGTTGATTTGACTGAAACTTGCCTAATCTCTCTCCTTTTCAAGGCTGAAGACACCGAGATAAGACTGAGACAAAGTGCTGTTTCAGGCCACTGGAGCGACACCAGTAAGTCTCCAGTCATCAGTTATTTCCTGGCTATTGACCCCCTGCTCATTCTTTCCCTCTCTAGAGTATTTTTTTGTTTTTGGTGACACTGGAGTTTGAACTCAGGGCTTCACACTTGCTAGGCAAGTGCTCTAACAGCTTGAGCTACTCCACCAGCCCCTTTCCGTCTCTAAAAAGCTCTTTCGCATACCTAATTTCCCTGTTGGCAAACCATCTTCTTTAGTTTTTCTGGCTTTCCAAATGAATTGTTTTCTTTGCTCCAATACTTGTCCTTGAATCACTGGCTTTTTATTTTTATTTATTTATTTTTACGGTACTGGGGTTTGAACTCAGGGCCTACACGTTGAGCCACGAGGTTAGGTTTTCAAGATAGGGTCTCAAGAACTATTTTTGGGCTGGCCTCGAACTGCAATCCTCCTAATCTCTTTTTCCTGAGTAGTTAGGATTACAGGCATGAGCCACTGGTGCCCGGCTCACTGGCTTTTTAAAGTGACAAGTAGATGAACTTGGTTCTGTGACATGTAATTTTGACTAGAAATGCTCTGCCCTTCAACCATCACCAAGACTGGTAGAATTTTATTTCTAAAAAGCTTCTAAGGAATCCAGGGGATGAGAAAATCAAGGAATATTTATTTATTTGAGACAGGATCTTGCTTTGTAGCCTAGGTTGTCTTTGAAATTAAGTTCCTTCATTCTCAGCCTCCTGAGTGCTGGGGTTATAGACATGTACCACCATGCCTGGTGCAAGGGATTTAAAAAGTAGTGTCAGAAAACGAGAAAATAGGCAGAAAGTTCTTGTGTGTTTATTTGGGGTGAAGATCCATGAAATCGGGAGGAGAGTCTAAAGACAGAGTGTTTCTCTCCCTCCTGACTCACCTTTTTCTTTTCCCCTCCTTTCTCTTTCCCATCTAGTATAGTGTACTGACCCTTAAAGCCAAAAGCATTTTCTTTCTCTCTCTCTTTTTTTAAAATCTGAAAATAAAATATCCTGCTTTTCCAGCCTGGCATTGTTGGGCTTCTCTGTACCCTTTGACTTCAGCTGACAACCTGCTGCTGAGACTTCTGATTCTCCCAAACTATCACCTTCCTCATGGACTCCTGCCTGAAATACCCTCCTACACCATCGTGCCTTATCTGACACCCTCACAGAGTCTTGCTGAGGCTGAGATAAACCTGAGTACTTTTTTTTTTTTTTAATTTTGAGTTTCCTGGCAGAGTGAAAAATTGAAGCACCACAAACATTGTGTTATATTTTTAAATGTTAGCTTCTGTGAGTGTTTCAGCTCTGAAGCCAGCTTCTATGAATGAATTCCATCAGCGGTCCTTGCTTTGAATGAAAGGTTCTGTCTGTCCATGGTTATAACTGTGAAATTGTGGGCAAGTTGCCTATTTCTTTGGCCTTCAGCTTGTTCCTCTGAAAAATGGACATAGTACTAGTGTTTACCAGGTTGAGCTGGGTTGAGGATTAAAAGAGTCACATGTGTGAAGCCAAAAACCATATCTGGCATGCAGTACACACAATTTAAGCGTTGGCCAGTATTTGGAGATGGTGACAAGTATTCAAATTTGAGGTTCTTTGTGAGGCAGGTCAGGAAGCCTTTATAACTAGTGTCACTGTAAAATTCTAAACGAGTATTTTTCTTTTTTTTAAAGGCAGGGTCTCACTATGTAGGTTTGCCTCAAACTTATGAGCATGCTGTCTAAGCTCCCCAAGTGAGGGGGTTAAAGATGTACACTGCCACTCTTGGCTTCAAACCAGGACTTTTAAGAGGGCTGTTAAAAGAGGGATATTAAAAATTATGTCAGGATACAAGGTCTAAAGTGGAGCCATTCAGGGTGGGCTGGAATATGTGGTCACACCAACAGCTTTACTGATCACCATTGTCACATTGTCCTATCCCTGCTCAGAAACCATGCCAACCCTTATTCAGTGTAGCATTTATTTAGCCAATATTGTGCTGTCTTGGAGCCCATTACTATTTGCCTGTGTTAAGTAGCTATGTTCTACCTGTCCAAGTGACTATAAGTCCTTGAGAGCAAGGACTCATCATATACTTCTTTGGATCCAAGTGTGAAAATCAATGATGTGAAAAAAATGAGTGATAATCCCCTTCCTTAACCCCTTGGTAGCCTGCCCCTAAATCCTTACACACTGGGATGAATAGTCAGAGCTCTCATGCCCTGGACTTTCTGCTCATTGGTCTCCCCAGTTCCGCTGATGTCTGTGTAGTCCTCCGTCTCCACAACTCACAATGCCCACTACTTTTGTGGGAGAAGATTGCAGTAATAAAGCCATTTCAGTAGCTTTTCTTCACACCTGAAGGTAAAACCTAAACTCCTTGTCATAGCCCATCAAGGTCTGTGGATCAGGTCCTGCCTTATGTCTCAGACATCCCCCACTCTGTCTCTCACTCCCCTCACTAGAATATAAGCCCCAGGAGGACAGGGACCATCACTGTACCAGTGCCTGGTAGTGCCAACTACCCATTTGTGGAATGAATGAGTTGGTTTTCTCCATAAGGTTGGTATAGAATTTTATTCCCTTTTCACAGACAAGGAATGTGAGACTTCTATATGTAAAATGAATTTACCAAGACCACAGAGCTAAAAAAAGTGGCAAAGTCATTCATTCATTCATTCATCCAACAGATATTTAGTGAACAGCTATTAGTCTGTAGGCACTGAGGCAGGATTCAAATTTGAGAATAATGATTTTAGAGTTATACCATCTTTTTACTTTCTCATTTTGTGCTTTTTTTTTTGTTGTTACTGGGGTTTGAACTCAGAGCCTTCACCTTGAGTCACTCCACCAGCCCTTTTTGTGTAAAGATTTTTTCCAAGATGGGGCCTGGCGAACTATTTGCCCAGGCTAGCTTTGAACAGCGCCCCCCCACCCGATTTCTGCCTCCTGAGTAGCTAGGATGCCCAGCTTTGTACTTTTTATCTTTTTTTTGACAGTACTGGGGCTTGAACTTTGAGCCTTGTACTTGTTAAGTAAGTGCTCTACACTTGAGCCATGCCCCCAGCCTTTTTTACTTTAGTTATTTTTTCAGATAGGGTCTCATGTTTTTGCCCAGGCCAGCCTCAGACCACTATCCTCCCACTTAGTCCTCCCTCATAGCTGGGATTACAGGTATGAATCACCTATGCCCAGCTTATTTGTTGAGACAAGATCTCACTACCTTTTTGTCTGGGCTGACCTCAAACACTTATCCTTCTGATCTTTGCCTCCTGAGTAGCTGGGATTACAGAAGTGAGTCACTGTGCCCTGCTGTGTATTCTTTTTTTAAAAAAATTAAAAAATGGATATATTCTTTTTTTGGGATACATTCTTGCTACAAAATAATTCAAACAATGTAAATAGATAAGATCAAATTCTCCTTTGACCATAATTCCTCTTTCCCTTTCCTAGCCAATACCAGTCAATCCTCAGAAGTAAACAGTCTATCATTAGACACACACACACACACACACACACACACACAGAGTGCCTGGGTGGCCTATTCTATCTATAGTTCATTTAACTTTGTGACATTTAATATCATCACGTATGTACTGACTTCATTTATTTTAATATCTTCATGTTATGCCATAGTTTCTTTAAAGATTCTCCACACTGATGGAAGTTTTTAGATTTGTTTCTGCCTTTTCATTATTACAAACAGGGATAATAAATTACTTATATAGGCATTTCTATGTATTAGATATGAATATTTCATTAAAATGGAGTCTAAAACAGAATCATTGGCCAAAGGACATGTGTATTTTAATTTGAAGAATTGTAAAATTATCCTTTAAAAAATTTTGCCAATTGATGCTCCTCCTAACAACATGAAAATGCTGGCCATAATCACTATATATTTATACACACACACACACACACACACACATATGTATTTCTATTATCCAAAAATGTTCAATCAACCACCTTTGCATTTTAATCTCCATACTTGTATTCTGATCCCAGACACCAATGATGATCTTTTATCTGCCAGATTATTTTTGGGTGATATGGTTGAGAACAAGATCTCTCTCCCTCTCCCACCTCTCTCTAGACAGAGTCTCACTGTGAAGCCTTAGCTCAAACTTCCCATCTTTCTCCCTCTGCCTCCTGAGGGCTGGGATTACAGCCTGGCATCGAAGCTGCTATTAACGTAGCATCTATGGGTTGGAAGAATGATTACCATTACATTTTGGATGATGCAAAAATGCCTGTCATTCACTCAGTGAATGTTAGTTTCCTTAGCATTTGGAGCCTTGATATTGGGTTATTGGCAAGCATATGTTCCTGGCTTGGTTCTTGCCTTTTGTGAGTCTCCCATTTATCTGTTTTTCATGGCTTCTCTATCTCTCTAACTCAGGGAAGCCTTACCACCCTCCTCCTCCACCCCAGGTTGACCTATCACTCTCCTTCAGGAACTAGATGTAGGGCGTTTCCTTCTTAAACTGACACTTGATTCCTTGTCTACATCTAGCTGAGCACAGAGGACGTACATGCCCTGAATTGTGAGTGTGAGACAGACCCAGCATTGTTGGACTTGAAGGTGAGCCTAACTTGGGAGAAATTTCACCTCAGAACAGAGCAGGATTTTAAGGGTTTTGGAAAGGTGGTGTCTGCGAAGGGCATGGGATACTTTTAAGAGGAGTGAAATAACTGGAGGGAGATACCCAGGGGTAAGGGAAAAGGATAATTAAAATCGACTTTTTTCGCTATTTGACAGATGGCCCTTCTTCAGGATAATAAGGACATCATTTCTATAGGAAAGAAGGAATTTAACGTTCTGCTGAATCAGCAGGTAAGCCCAGACTCACTGCTTCAAAGGACAGGCCTGGAGAGAGTGTGTGTTGGGGTTGAGGGTCAAGAAGAATTATTCTCTCACTATGAAGCTGGAGGGTAATGGTGGGTTGATAGAAACAAGTAGAGATGGAGTACAAGTCAGAGAAAAGAGGAGGTGAGAGTTTTTGAGACTATTCTGGCATTCCTGAATTGCATTGCTGACCAGGTTCTCCCTTGCCAACTCCCTCCCCATGACCTCCAGGTCTTTCAGGATCCTCTTATCACTGAAGAAGACATGGCAAAGGTGGTGGATGACTGGATGAATATCTACATCAACTATTACAGCCAGCAGGTTACAGGGGAGCAGCAAGAGCAAGACAAGGCTCTGCAGGAACTTCGGCAAGAGCTGAACACTCTGGCCAGCCCTTTCCTGGCCAAATACAGGGCCTTCCTGAAGTCCCATGAGCACCCAAATCATGCGACTTCCTCCTAGCCCAGAGGGCCAGCCCTGCATCTCCAAGAAGCCTTTAAACCCAGACTCTGTGTTCTTAAAACCTCAGGATGTGCTCCTTCATGGTGTTTCTTTACCTGACACCCCAATAAAGATCAAGCCTGGTTTTGTTAGACTTCCTGGTGCTTTTTCATTGTCTCTGGCTTGTGCAGGCGGTTGGTCCTGTGAATGAAGCTATGATCTTGGAGACTTAATTTCATACAGTAGAGGTTAGCAGCTTTAAGTAACCACTGGGCAGAACTAAAATAGGTGGATGGGTTTTCAGGTAGGGACTAAGAAAGTGCTGGGGCAAGGGCTGGTGGTAAGTGGCAGAAAAAAGAAAGAGAGATAGAAGCCATCTGGAAATCGTAGTCTTGTGATGTGTTTATCTAACAGAAAGTTTTTGCAGGTCTCCTTGTTTGTCTGGCTCCAGGTCTACAGCCTCCATTTTTCAATCTCCTTTAGCCCCAGCTCGAATAATGTTCTAGGATCTTCTGACTCGAACTCTACCGCATAATATCACCCCGATACCCCCGGGAGTATCATAGTAATTTATAGTTAAAAAGAGTCTTGGGAACCACTCTGCACATCCCTTATATTTCAGACAGGGAACTCCTAACCTTAGGCTTCCCTATCCTTCAGCCACAGATCCCAGGACTGGGAACAGAGAGGCAGTCAGCTTTCCCCACGGCCCCAGGCTTCTCCTGGCATTTCTCGGGGTGGGTGTGGGAGAGACCATTGCTCTTTCAGGCGTCCAGACTCTTGTTTTAGGGTTCTGGGGTGGAACCAGGGCGGGGCTAGACTCACTAGCGGGTTTTAAGACCACTGGGCAGCCTCTTGAGAAAACCTGACGGCACTTTCCCAGCTGGGAGCAGAGGGGAGGGGCGCAGAGACCGGACAGAGGGCGGAGGGGTACAAAGGGTGGAGGGGCGTGACTGAGGACGGAGGGGGCGTGGCCGAGACAGGGGAGCGGAGAGGTGTGGCGAAGAGGTGGAGCATGTCAACCAGATGCAATGCTTGGGGCTCACTGCCGCTTTCCAGGTGTTTTTCTGTGTTCCTTTTTCTGTGGGAAAAGTCTGGGGCTAAGAGGAGTTGTTCTTTAGTTACTGTCGCTACTGTCTTTTAATTTTTTTTGGCCTCAAGGTGGTTCAGGGTAAAACGGGACCAGTGCAGTGCCCCCAACCATCCTTGCAAACTCAGGGTGTAAATACACCCCAGACTCAGCAATCTCTCAGGAAAACGAGCTGTGAGCATCTTGGAGGTGTAACCCGTGGCTCAGGCAGACGCGGAGGCCTTCCCACTGTACCTGTCAATGATCTGTCTCTTAATGGGAACCCAGCCAGCGCCTTTGGGACAACACCTGTGTATGGGTGGAAGAGAGAGTGTGGTGTGTTGTGGTGTGGTTTAGTGTTGTGTAGTGTGGTGTAGTGTAGTGTACTGTGGTTTGGTGTGATGTAGTGTGGTGTGATGCAGTGTGGTGTGGCGTAGTGTGGTGTAGTGTGGTGTAGTGTAGTGTGGTGTAGTGTTGTGGTGTAGTGTGGTGTGATGCAGTGTGGTGTGGCGTAGTGTGGTGTAGTGTGGTGTAGTGTAGTGTGGTGTAGTGTAGTGTGGTGTAGTGTGGTGTAGTGTACTGTGGTTTGGTGTGATGTAGTGTAGTGTGGTGTAGTGTGGTGTGGTGTAGTGTGGTGTAGTGTGGTGTAGTGTGGTGTCGTGTGGTGTAGTGTGGTGTCGTGTGGTGTAGTGTAGTGTAGTGTGGTGTAGTGTAGTGTGGTGTGTAGTGTGGTGTGGTGTAGTGTAGTGTAGTGTGGTGTAGTGTAGTGTGGTGTGTAGTGTGGTGTGGTGTAGTGTAGTGTACTGTGGTGTGATGTAGTGTAGTGTAGTGTGGTGTAGTGTGGTGTGGTGTGGTGTAGTGTGGTGTAGTGTGGTGTAGTGTAGTGTAGTGTGGTGTAGTGTGGTGTAGTGTGGTGTGGTGTACTGTGGTTTGGTGTGATGTAGTGTAGTGTGGTGTAGTGTGGTGCAGTGTGGTGTAGTGTAGTGTGGTGTGTAGTGTGGTGTGGTGTAGTGTAGTGTACTGTGGTGTGATGTAGTGTAGTGTAGTGTGGTGTAGTGTGGTGTGGTGTAGTGTAGTGTGGTGTAGTGTGGTGTACTGTGGTTTGTGTGATGTGAGTGTATGTGTGTAGTTGGTGTAGTGTGGTTGTTGTAGTGTGGTGTAGTGTGTGTAGTGTATGTAGTGTGTGTAGTGTGGTGTAGTGTGGTGTGGTTGTATGTGGTTTGGTGTGATGTAGTGTAGTGTGGTGTAGTGTGGTGTAGTGTGGTGTACTGTGGTTTGGTGTGATGTAGTGTAGTGTGGTGTAGTGTAGTGTGGTGTAGTGTAGTGTGGTGTGGTGTAGTGTAGTGTGGTGTAGTGTAGTGTAGTGTGGTGTAGTGTAGTGTAGTGTGGTGTGGTGTAGTGTAGTGTAGTGTGGTGTAGTGTAGTGTAGTGTACTGTGGTGTGATGTAGTGTGGTGTGGTGTAGTGTGGTGTAGTGTGGTGTAGTGTACTGTGGTGTGATGTAGTGTAGTGTAGTGTGGTGTGGTGTAGTGTAGTGTACTGTGGTGTGATGTAGTGTGGTGTGGTGTAGTGTGGTGTAGTGTGGAGTAGTGTAGTGTGGTGTAGTGTAGTGTAGTGTGGTGTGGTGTAGTGTAGTGTGTAGTGTAGTGTAGTGTGGTGTGGTGTGGTGTAGTGTAGTGTAGTGTAGTGTGGTATAGTGTAGTGTAGTGTGGTGTAGTGTGGTGTAGTGTGGTGTAGTGTGGTGTAGTGTAGTGTAGTGTGGTGTGGTGTAGCGTAGTGTAGTGTAGTGTAGTGTGGTGTGGTGTAGTGTGGTGTGGTGTAGTGTGGTGTAGTGTGGTGTAGTGTAGTGTAGTGTGGTGTAGTGTGGTGTAGTGTGGTGTACTGTGGTTTGGTGTGATGTAGTGTAGTGTGGTGTAGTGTGGTGTGGCATAGTGTGGCATAGTGTGGTGTAGTAGTGTGGTGTGGTGTGGTGGTTGAAATCACTTCAGCTTAACATAAAGATGACATTTCCATAAATGTAGAACTATCCAGCCTTAGCTGAGTATAACCATTCCTCAAGTGCTCAGACTGGGGAAAATGATCACTTAACAGGTCTGCCACATGGTAGAAAAGATTCCTACAGTGGATGGGAAGTTCAACATCTAAACTCCAACCATTACATAAACTGTGTGATACTTAAAATGGCACCCCTGTCTTTTGGGCAGAAAACACTTTTAATGGCACTGTACATTCTTTATGCCTATCACCTATCTGTCTAGTCATAAGTCTACTTAGAAGTAAAATTTGGAATGCTTTGGTGGTTTTGTTTTGGAGATGGTAACATGAACCATCAGGATCTGATAGTTCAAAATAACAAAAGTAAAGCTACTGAAGCAGTGAATGTCCCAAATTCATTATTCCCGAAGGAAAATTAATGACAATTAGCAAAAAGGATAATGCTTCTTTTGTTGTGACAGCAGTGTCTGAAACAATACTAGAAATAAGATTGTAAATAGTAAGTAAACAATTACAGCCATAACCCTATCTTATCTTGACACCAACCCTGACCTAGGGCTGACCCTGAATTTGAACCCCACCTTTAATTTCATCTGCGACTCTGACACTTACTCTGTCCTAGCTGACTTTAACCCTGACCCTGACAGATGCCTTACCCTCACACCAACCCTGATACTGAGTTCAACCCTATCTTTTATCCTGATGTGGGTCCTGAGCCTCAACCTGAAGCTTACTTTGACCTTTTACCATGAAATTGACCCTTATTCCCTTCCCCCCACCATGACCTTGACTCTCACCCTCATTATGTCCATGAGCACGACTTCAAACCTGATAGTGAACCTCACCCTCCAAGTCCATGTGGCTCATGTTGATCCCAGACCCTGGTCTTAACCACAGATCCTAGACTCACTGTATCCATAAGGTAAGTCTGACCTTCACGGTCACTCTTCCCCTATCAGTGATCTGAACTTTATCATGAACCTGACCTTGATCTGATCTTTACCCTGATACTGTCCTGACCCTTATTCTCATCCAATTCTGACACCTTTATCCAGACTCAACCTGACCCCAACACAAGCCATGTCTCTGACCCAGATACTCATCTTGAAAATGGCTCAGATGCATACTCACGTGAGTCTCTCACACTGACCGTGATCCTAACTTTGACATTGATGCTGACCCTACCAAAGAAAATCTACCTGACTCTGACTTTGCTGTGAGCGTGGTTCTGAGCCTCCTCTTATCCTGACCCATTCTCTGTACCTTGGTATGATTCAGATCCTGACCCTGACCAGGAAACTCATCCTGATTCCAATTCTTATTTTTACTCTGACCTTGGAAAATCTTCATCACATTGATTGATACACTTACTTTTTAAAAAATATTTTTATAATTGACAAAATTATATGTATTCATCATGTAAAATGAGGTTTGAAATATGTGTACATTGTGGATTAGCTAAGTAAAACTAATTAGCATATTAACATCATTTTTTGTGTGAGAACACTCAAAGTCTACTTTCTCAGCAATTTTTAAGAATACAGTGCATTGTTGTTAACTATAGTCACCATGATGTATATAATAAATAGATCTTTTGCTCTAACTGGAATTTTATGGTAACCACCATTGTATTTTGTGCTTTTATGAATTTGATATTTTTGGATTTCATATTTTTGAGATGGACTTTTTTCCCTCAACACAATATCTTCCAGATTCATCCACATTGGCTCAAATAGCAGGGCTTATCTTTTAAAGGCTGAGTATTAGTCTAAAAATCAAGCTTCCATATGATCCAGCTATCCTACTTTTGGGTTTCTATCAGAAGAACATAAAGCCAACGTGAAAAACAGATACTTGCATGCTCATGTTTATCACACACCATCCAGAGTGCCTATTATGCAGAGTCAGAGCCAAGGAGGCACTCAGCAGGTTTAGCATTCAGAGAATCCCACATGCCTGAAGGGACTTCAGATTGGGCAATCCAGTTTGGAACCCCTTGAGCATGGTCTCCTTGTATACCTAGGCCCAGTGAGCTCCTTGCATCCTGAGACCACAGACTTTATTCATCCCTGATTTTCACACAGTGTTTTCTGAT